TGGCGTGCTCGTGGGAGGAGGAGGAACAGAGGTGAGCTGGGGTGGGGTGGGGCCACCCGGGGAGGGTCGCAGCAAGTAATGGGGGGTGCAGAGGAACCGCTCCCCACTCCAGCTCATCTCCGCCTCCTCCCCTGAGCACGCCGCCGCTCCGCTTCTTCTCCCCCCCCGCCCCCTTTTCAGGCTTGCTGGGCCAAACAGCTGATTGGCGCGGCAAGCCTGGAAGGGAGGGAGGGAGAAGCGGCGTGGCGGCGGCGCGCTCAGGGAGGAGGTGGAGGCAGAGCGGAGGTGAGCTGGGGTGGGGAGCGGTTCCTCTCCCTACCCTGATATAATGCGGCCTCACCTATAACACGGTGAGATTTTTTGGCTCCCGAGGACCATGTTGTATCGGGATAGAGGTGTACTTTGTCATCACTAAAGGTAATAGAAAATAAATTGTAACTCTACAGGTTAGCTAAAAGTGTTTACCCTGAAGAGAAATCAAGTACTTGATTTTAGCAGTAATATTAATTCACTAAAGTTGTTTTGTTTGCCACAAATGCAAATCTTTAATTTTGTTATAATTTACTTTTGGAAAAGGTAACATCTTGCATTTTGTATTTCTTGTTATAGTGGTCTAATAAGATTGTTTTGTTTTTCTCCCCCAGAATGTCACACAGAAAATGAAATAAAAGCAAGAGATCCTATCAGGTGTCGAGAATGTGGGTACAGAATAATGTACAAGAAAAGAACAAAAAGATGTATCCTTTCGCATGTGCCTATTAAATTGTTTGAGTGGGCAGAGGAAGATAGTGACTATAAATAAAATTAAAAAAATTGGGGTAGTACTGAAGAATTGGTCCAGTACCAAAAAAGTCTTACAAAGTAGTACTTATGCGACAAAGAACATATAACATCTTAATTATTTTCAGTGATGATCTTGTTAATTAAAGCACAATACAATAAACTTTGGTAGTCTTGTATTGCGATGCAAACAGGTAAAAAAGTACACTGGATAGAAGATAATATCATGCATGCAAAATATATTCCATTTTTTAAAAGCATACAAACAAATGCTAACTGTGGTGGTAACTGAAAAATGAGCCTTGACGCATTTTGCATGACTGATTTGTGATTGTATTTTTTAAATTTTGTTTTCCCCCTGTCATTTTCTTTAACTCTAACAATTACAGTGGTTGTCTTTGATGCCCGGTAATGTGAATTCAAGATGTAGCTGTTTTGGCCTGGTTCATTTTAGTATACTGATAACTTTGATTTGTATACACATCTGTTGTGGAGAAATATATACTTTTTCATTCTGATATCAGTTGTAAATTATTCAGGTAGTTAAATAAAGTTTTTAATATCAAATATTCAGTTTCACTTTTGAATTCAGTGGAGTTATGCTTGCTTACAGCAGCGCTAAACTTGGCCCAATATGTCCAAGTTCCCTGATTTTTCTATTCCCATCTCAGAACCTCACTAAGACACCAATCCTGTAGAGACTTTAAACATGTTTAACTTTATGTACTGAGTAGTTCCATAAACTCCAAAGAGAGTACTTGCTGCATAAAGTCAAACGTGCATAAATCTTTGTAAGCTTGAGGGCTAAATCTAGGCAAAAGGGCTGTAGAACAACAAATAGTGTCAATGTATGAGGTGTTCTTTATATGGCTGTCGATTAATCGCAATTAACTCACATGATTAACTCAAAAAAATTAATTGCATTGTTAAACAATAAAATACCAATTGAAAATGTAGAAAAAAAAACAAAAATATTTAATAAATTTCAATATATTGCTTTCTATTACAACACAGAATACAAAGTGTGCAGTGCTCACTTTATATTACTTTGATTACAAATATTTGCACTGTAAAAATGATAAAAGAAATAGTATTTTTCAATTCACCTCATACTAGTACTGTAGTGCAATCTCTTTATCATGAAAATGCAACTTACAAATGTAGATTTTGTTGTTGTTACATAACTGCACTCAAAAACAAAACAATGTAAAACTTTAGAGTCTACAAATCCACTCAGTCCTACTTCTTGTTCAGCCAATTGCTAAGACAAACAAGTTTGTTTACATTTACAGGAGATACTGCTTCTTATTTACAGTGTTACCTGAAAGCAAGAACAGGCGTTCGCATGGCACTTTTGTAGCCAGTGTTGCAAGGTATTTACATGCCAGATATTCTAAACATTCGTATGCCCCTTCATGCTTCGTCTACCATTCCAGAGGACATGTTTCCATGCTGATGACTGGTTCTGCTTGATAACCAATGCATTTTCATTTTTATCATCTGAGTCAGATGCCACCAGCAGAAGGTTGATTTTCTTTTTTGGTTGTTTGGGTTCTGTAGTTTCTGCATCAGAGTGTTTCTCTTTTAAGATTTCGGAAAGCATGCTCCCACCCCGTCCCGCTCAGATTTTGAAAGGCTCTTCAGATTTTTAAACCCTGGGTCGAGTGCTGTAGCTATCTTTAGAAATTTCACATTGGTATTTTCTTTATATTTTGTCAAATTTGCAGTGAAAGTGTTCTTAAAACCAACATGTGCTGAGTCATCATCCGAGACTGCTATAACATGAAATATATGGCAGAATGTGGGTAAAACAGAGCAGGAGACATACAATTCTCCCCCCTAAAGAGTTCAGTCACAAATTTAATTAATGCATTATTTTTTTAACGAGCATCATCAGCATGGAAGCATGTCCTCTGGAACGATGGCCAAAGTATGAAGAGGCGTATGAATCTTTAGTGCATCAGGCACTTAAATATCTTGCGATGCCAGCTACAACACTGCCATGCGAACGCCTGTTCTCACTTTCAGGTGATATTTTAATTATGAAGTGAGCAGCATTATCTCCCGTAAATGTAAACAAACTTGTTTCTCAGTGATTGGCTGAACAAGAAGTACGACTGAGTGGACTTGTAGTCTCTAAAGTTTTACATTGTTTTGGTTTCGAGTGCAGTTATGTAACAAAAAAAATCTACATTTGTAAGTTGCATTTTCATGATTAAGAGATTGCACTACAGTACTTGTATGAGGTGAGTTGAAAAATACTATTTCTTTTATCATTTTACAGTGCAAATATTTGTAATAAATAATGTGAGCACTGTACACTTCGAATTCTGTGTTGTAATTTAAATTGATACATTTGAAAATGTAGAAAACATCCAAAAATATTTTAATACATTTCAGTTGGTATTGTATTGTTTAACCGTGCAATTGATTTTCTTAATTGTGATTAATTTCTTTAATCGCTTGACAGCCCTAGTTCTTTATCATCTGAAGACATCACTTCTCTGTGGAGAGGAAAAAAATTTACAGATTAAGTACCAAATGGTCAAGAAATTCAGAGTTGAGTTTGAATAATCTGAGAATTAGTTGGTTACTTCATCAATATGGTTACAATGGCGCAGATCCACAAATCTACTTAGGCACTTAAGCCCCAATTTTAGGCTCCACTATGATCCACAAAACTTCCCTCACACCCTGTAGATACCTAAACTGACTTGGTGTCTAATTTCAGGACAAAAGTTCCCTCTCTGTCTAAATTTCTGTCTCTGAGCATGTGCATTGCAGGCTCAATCTAAGCAACTGGGTGCCTAGTTCCCACGTAAGAACATAAAAACAGCCATACTTGGTCAGACCAAAGGTCGATCTAGCCCTGTATCCTGTCTTCCAACAGTGGCCAATGCCCAGTACCCCAGAGGGAATGAACAGAACAGGTAATCAAGTGATCCATCCCCTATTGCCCATTCCTAGCACCTGGCAAACGTAACCCGTAGACCGATCCACAAACCCAGGGAAGATAGGTGTTCATCTGCTTAACTTGCAGGTGAGGACCGGTTGGGTAGGCATGCTCAGCGGCTTCCATTGAGGAGGCGGTAGTAGTACCCCCACCCTGGTCCCATTGAGAATCGAGGAGGAGATAGTAGTACCTTCCCCAACTTCTAGCCCAGTGGTTTTCATACTTGCCTCAAATGTGGGAGACCCAGGTTCAATTTTCCCCCTCTGCTTAGGGGTGGGGAGAGGATTTGAACAAGGGTCTCCCCATATCTCAGGAGAGGTGCTCTAATCAGTGAGCTGTGGGATGTTCTCATGTGGCTCCCCTGGTCTTTCCTGTTGAAACTGCTCTACTGTGGATAAACACTTAGAGTGATTCACCTACCTGCTGCCTGTGTAGCCTGATGGTTTGGGCACCCAAGGTCTAGTCACTCTGTGACAATGAATTTTTAAGTAGCTATTTAGTGGAACAACTTCAACTGGAGAGATTGAAGGCACCCCACATCAGAGTCTCCCATAGCTGAGTGTTTACAGCACTGCCTCTGTGGGGTATGGGAGACTCTTGTTCAAATTCTTTCTTACAGGGAGTGTGGAATTGAACCTTGGGCTCCTACATCCCAGGTGAGTGCTCTAACCACTGGGCTTAAAAGCTATAAGGTAGTTAACACTTAACTCGAGCTTTTTTGTGTGGAATGAGGCAGGCACCTAATTCATTTTCACAAGAAATACCGTAGGCACCTTCGTGGCCTGAGTGCAGAGAGAGGTGCCTGCCTGTGACCCCAGGCTTAGATGCGTATCTCCATGAAAGGGGCAGCACTTATAACAGCTAGTATTATAAGGAGAGAGCAACTGGACGCAGGTACCAGGAATTGGGGAATTGCCTTCTAAAGCAATTATCTTCCCCATTCATTGTATAGAGAGCCGAAGCACCTACCTCAGACTTTGTGAATTCCAGTGTTCCTATGATTTTCTAGGCACTAAAGTTAGGTATTAGTTGTTGTGATACTGAGCATTATAAGTCTCTTTGTGGATTTGTGCCAATGTCCTTAACTGTCCATTTTCTTGCTTTTAAAAACTTGAATTTTGTAAATGATGCATTTTCACTAATCAACTTTCATTGGTTTTTGAAGGGAAACTATTTCTAGGAGCTCTTGTGCAGCTTCCCAACAGTATTTTGTTTTTCACTTTTCTGTTGTTTTGCTAAATGAAGATACCTTTTTTAAATGGGACAGTATATTTCATCACCTTGCTAAATTAAGGGACTGAGAATTGCTGCCCCACTCTATTCCTTCAGGGCTGGTATTCTGTCCCCTGCTCAGTTTCTTTCAAAATACACCTGCCAAAATTCATTCCAGTGAGTAGCATAGGCTAGAGCAATGAGGGCTGCTGTGGGGTTTTGCTTTTTCTCCTTAAACACCAGGCATTTCCCTGACTTTGACTGGGAGAGCCTGGCCTAGGATGCTATTGCACCATAATGTTGGGATTTCTCAATGAAACATCACCCTGACATCTCCCTACCCAGTACTGAAACATCTTTGGCTCTGGCCTGCCAGGAACCATCTGCCCAGAACGTGCAGCGGATGCCCCGTCATCCGTGCATCAGTTCCCTCACTTTCCTCCCGGGCTAGAGGGGAGGACAGGGCACCCTGCTCCGCCCCGCCTCCGCGGCAGGCTCTGGCACGCCTCGCCCAGCTGGTCGCAGCAGAGGGGCCTGGGCAAGTTGCCGCGATTCCAACAGCGTCTCACTGCGGGGGGGGGAGACAGACAGCCGGCCCAGCCCCTAGCTCTGGGGGCGGGGTGCGCGTGCAGCCCCGCGCTTCCAACGGTAGCGCTGCGGTGCCGACCCCTTGCGCATGCGCTGAGTGGACGGGGGAGGGTCCTGCGGCCAGTTGCTCTCTTCGGACGGAGGCTGAGAGACGTGGTGAGAGCGAAGTCGTCGACTGTCCTCCGGAGTTAGTGCGGGGCACCTGAGCAGGCCGGTCGGCCTGGGCTGCCGCCCCGCTCCTTCAGGGCTGGTGTCCCGTCCCCAGCGCGACTCCTGACCTCCCCGCCCGCCATTCTCCCCTGGGGCCGGGCCAGGGGTGCGTGAGGGCGGCTGTGGTGTGTGGGAAGGGGTGGGGTGCAGGGGCCTGGAGAGTGGGGTGTGTGTGTATGGAGGGGATAGGGAGGCTGTGATGGGATAACAACTCGCCGTGCGCTGGAGCTGGGGGCCCGCGGGCCAAAGCCCTTGCCTCGGGTGTGTGTGGGGGGGGTCGTGCTTCCCACACAGTGTGTAGCCCCCTCCCGCGGGGATGGATCCTCAGTGCCCTGCTGGCCGTTTCGCGGTGTGTGAAAGGGGGGCGGGGGCAGGGCAGCCTGGCTCCTGGTGCTTCCCGATCCTCTGTGGAAGGGGCCAAACTGCAGAGTTAATGTATTATCTCCCCTGCCACAACCTGGGTGGGTGGTGAGGTTTGGTCCTTACGCCGTGCTACTGGACTCCCAGAAGCCATGCTGTACATAGAAACAGTTGCTAGGGTAGGGCGGGCTTTGCAGGTCTGTAGTCCCCTGCTACGGAGAGAGTTTTGCTGGGATTATTCCCTTTGTTGTGAGAGTTGCAAAGATTACCAGAAACACGTTTGAGCTCAATTCTGCTGATGTTACATGGTAACACTCCTACTGACAGGCGTTGCATCTATGCTACTTAAGGAGAAGAATGTGGCCCTTTGTCTTATTACAATAAAAGATAGAACTATGAAAAGTCTGATTGTAAAAACACAAGATGGTTGCACAAATACATAGGTGTGAGAAGAATGAATTTTGAATATTCAACCTGTATGTATCACCCAGTGCAAAAGAAGAGTAAACATATTATTTGTAAAAAGCAACAAAGAGTCTTGTGGCACCTTATAGACTAACAGATGTATTGTAGCATAAGCTTTCGTGAGTGAATACCCACTTCGTCAGACACATGCCCACATGACGAAGTGGGTATTCACCCACAAAAGCTTATGCTCCAATACATCTGTTAGTCTATAAGGTGTCACAGGACTCTTAGTCTGGATCTGTAAAAAGCAACAAACACGGCTACCCCTCTGATACTATTATTTGTGTTACTGGAGTGCTTAGGAGCCTGTCATGGACCAGGACCCCATTGTGCTGGGTGCTGTACAAAAGATCAGAAAGAATTCCTGCCCTAAAGAGTTTACAGTCTAAATAAGATAAGAAACAACAGATGGATACAGACAGACAGATGGGGAGTAGCAGGAAATCATGAGACAATATTGGTCAGCATGATAGGTGGTGGTATTAGTGCACAGTGGTCTAACCATTGTCAAGAGTTTTGAAGGCATCGTGGCAAAGGAGAGGTTTAAGGTAGGATTTGAAAGAGGATAATGAGAGCTGGTGAGGAGAGTGGTGATATGCCTCTTTTGTATTGTACAAGCTTAATTTGTTTGGTGAGTCTTAATCTGCCACTGGAATTTCCACATTTTATAATTTAGATGTTTCCTATTAAAATAGCATGCCATTTGGATTTTTTTAAAGATCACAAGAAGTATGTCTGAAGTACAGCAATATTGACTCAAATTAACATTTGTAGACATTTTCACATATATCAGCAGCAACTCCACTTAAAAATTCATGGCCGTCCCACAAAAACTCCTCCAAGTTATCCTCAGCTATGCCTGTGGAAGGTAAATTAGTTGCATCAACTTGCTAGTAGTTTTAAGATTATTTTTCTTCAATACATTTCCTTTTCTTTATGAGGGACAGAATAAATTAGCAATATTCATTTAACAGGTATATTACCTTGCATGAGAGGAACAGAAGCCAAAAGGTTTTCCAAAGGAAAAACTTGAATATGTAGTCTATGACGTTTCTAATTTTGCTTACATTATTATAATTATTATTTTTGCAATGCTATATGTGTTTGTGGCACCTTGTGGTTAAAATAGAAGAGAGTGGTTTTTTGCCTTAAAGAGTTTACAATCTGAGATCTCAGTCCTGCAAGCTGATAGATCCTTGTGCCCACCCAGACCCTCAGTGAAGTTAGTGGGGCTCTGGACAGGTGGAGCAGTTTGCAAGACCGGGGCCTCAAGTTGGCAACTCCTTCATCATGCCAATGGGACTATATGCATGAGTAAGGATTAAGTGTGAATTAAGGGCTGGACTATTTCTTAAAATTGGATTTGCCTCAAAGTATATCTGAGTACCACTTCAGGCAGCAGAATAATTAGTTTTATCTTTAATTTTTTTAGAAATGAGTGACCAGCCAGTTTCATCTTTGTGGGACCAGGGAACAACAAAAACATATCAAATTCCTATTAATCATCTGGACTACAAGTTCATTGAAAAGTGCTCAGATGTTAAACACCTGGAAAAAATTCTCAGGATATTGAGGTAAACATTTAAAATTCTATCTTCATTATTATTTACATTACTGCTTTTTTTATTTTGTTTTTGGTTAATAGTTTATCTATTGGTAAGATTCTGAGGATTTGGCCCAAGAGTATTGGGCTCGGTACTTGACTTATCTTAAAAGTGTTGGTGACTTAACATAAGTTAAATCTTTAAATTAAAATAAAAAAGGTAACTAATCTTGTGAAAGGTTCCTTACTGACAGCACTGGAAATAGAAGTTCTATGTTAAATCCACAGAACGGGTACAGCTTGAGTAGCAGCAGTGGAAGAGTCTTCTTATTGTTCCACCGCTGTACCTCATTTGCGGCAAGGAGGAACCTGTGAGGGGGTGTGGTTATTTCAGACATTGTGCTGATTTAATCCTTGCCATTTTTGGTGAGAGTGTCAAGAATATTTATATGTGCAGTGTTCTTGTAGCCGTGTTGGTCCTCTCAGAATATTTACAGTTAGTACTAATTGCAATGTTTTTTGTAATGTGAACATTTGCTCATTAAACACTGGACCAAGGCCACCAACTCAATTTACAGTTGTCATCAAACTGCTGTAAGATGGTAATAACAACTTTCAATCACTAGGAAGTAAAAAAGTCCTCTGTAGTCAGTACTGTATCTCATAGACTCATAGACTTTAAGGTCAGAAGGGACCATTATGATCATCTAGTCTGACTCCCGCATGATGCAGGCCACAAAAGCTGACCCACCCACTCCTGGAATAATTCTCTCCCTTGCCTCAGCTGTTGAAGTCCCCAAATCATGATTTAAAGACTTCAAGTCGCAGAGAATCCTCCAGCAAGCGACCCCTGCCCCATGCTGTGGAGGAAGGCGAAAAACCTCCAGGCCCTCTGCCAATCTACCCTGGAGGAAAATTCCTTCCCAACCCCAAATATGGCGATCAGCTGAACCCCGAGCATGCGGGCAAGATTCTCCAGCCAGACCCTCCGGAAAAAAGTTCTCTGTAGTAACTTTTAATATCCCATCATTGACCATTGTTACTAATTACCAGCGATGGCACGTTATTGACCTATTGACTAAAATCACGTTATCCCATCAAACCATCCCCTCCATAAACTTATCAAGCTTAATCTTAAAGCCAGAGAGGTCTTTCGCCCCCACTGTCTCCCTCGGAAGGCTGTTTCAGAACTTCACCCCTCTGATGGTCAGAAACCTTCGTCTAATTTCAAGCCTAAACTTCCCGACGGCCAGTTTATATCCATTTGTTCTCGTGTCCACATTAGTACTGAGCTGAAATAATTCTTCTCCCTCCCTGGTATTTATCCCTCTGATATATTTAAAGAGAGCAATCATATCCCCCTCAGCCTTCTTTTGGTTAAGGTAAACAAACCGAGCTCGAGTCTCCTTTCATACGACAGGTTTTCCATTCCTCGGATCATCCTAGTGGCCCTTCTCTGTACCCGTTCCAGTTTGTATTCATCCTTTTTAAACATGGGAGACCAGAACTGCACACAGTACTCCAAATGAGGTCTCACCAGTGTATCATTCATATATATATGAGGAGAATGCAATATTGTTTGTTTATTTTGCTTAGTTTTTAAATAATGTGACATCTTTTTACTTTTAAGGTCTGGTGAGGAAGGATATTACCCTGATCTTACATTATTCTGTGAAAAACGCATTGAATGTTTAGCTCCAGGGAGCAGAGCCCTGCGAAAAGATAAACCTCCAGCCTCTGCATCTGACTTTACAACTGAAGAATGGGAAAAAATTAATGATGAAATGAAGGTAAAGTATAATTTTAATTTAATATGGTATGGCAATATAAATATATTAAAGTAATTAGTGATCAGATTTTTTTTTTAGTACACCTGTTTAGAATTTGATTGTCTCTGTTGTTCTCAGACTGATTACATATCAGTAATGCAGCAATTTGCAGTTGCTAATAGTTCACATGGCCTTGCATATTAGGACCTGTTTCTTTAAGTGAGGAAATATTGACCAGAACTCTCTTAAATATCCTTTTTATTTGAATAGGACCCCTGAATCTTTAACTTCCATCTGAACAGCCACAACAAATAATGACACATTTATGCACCACCTTTGATTCAGAAGAATCACAAAGTATTTACAAACTATATTCAGGGAAATACATCACTCTCAACTGAAAAAAATTTAGCATCTGATTATGTTGGGGCACAGCAACACTGCATCACACTTTAGGACAGGAATTGAAGAATTTCATATCTAGCTGAAAATGTAGAGGGGATTTAGGTGGAAGAGCCTTTAGCGTTAATGTTTCATCTTAAGGACATCAGTTCTAATAGTTTGGCATCTCAGCAGTCACAACTGGATGCAAATCCTAGTCCTAATGTGAAATATGAACCTGTGATTTTCTGGACTGGCGTTGAGTATGCTACTGAGTCATATTGGGGTTGATCCTGAGAGATATCAAGCACTTGTGGAATTTTTTGAATTTAATAATATGACCCCTTCGAGTTCTCCTAATTTTGGTTAGAGATTTAACGAAATTTTGAGGTTTAACGTGTGAGAGATGGTTTGGAAAGGGATTCCTTACAATAATGATGTATGGGTTGATGTTTTGTGTTATTACTGGATTTTTTTATCACAAGTCATGTATATATTAGTCTAATGTGTCCTAATCACATTGACACTGTTTCTGGTTTTGACTAATTATTGTCATTTTCCCCAAAGAAGATCCTCTAAGCTCTTGTCAAAAACTTTTTTTTTAAATGATTTGTTCCTGCCACTACTCTCCCAAATCCCAGCTTATGATGACTATCATAGCAACAGAGGAGTGCTAGACATGACTCCAACTGAAATCCATCAATATCATTCCTTGAGTTGGGTATATACAGGGCAGTATATTATCAGGAGGTCTGCATTTACTATTTTGAGGTGCAGTGATATCTGTTTCTTTTCAGAGCTGGGTGACAGAAATGAAGGAAGATGATTATAAAATACAATTTCCTGTAACAGAAACACTTCATGAAAGACTAGACAATTTGCCAGCAGTTCGTGGTTCAAATAGCTGCCTTCATGGTGGCCAGGTATCTCTTTTCTTAAAAATATGTGTAAAAATGCATTTTAATTTTTTATTTCTGAGATATGTATGCCTTTATACATAAATAATGTGTTAATTGAGCCTTTCTTGACTGTTTATTGTAACCAGACGTATATCAGTGAGCTTAGTACAGGATCCCTAGAAAGCATAGGTGTAGTTTGACGTCTATATATGGGGAGGCAGAGCCCCATGGGGCTCAGGTCAGCTCTGCATAGCAGGGCCCAGGGAGGGAGCACCACCTCCGTCTCCTGACTCACCTCAGCAGGCCACCCAAAAATTGTTATTCAAAGGGGGGGAGGGAGGGGTCAGCTCATAAACTTTGAAAACTGCTCAGGGTGCAGGGAGGGATGTAGCTAGGAGTTGTTCCTCCGTGCCCCACTAGGGGGCTCTGGCTGGCGTGGTGGGACTTGGGGAGGGAGCAGTGCCAAATGGAAGGCAGAAATCTCTCCACCCCCCCCCCCCCCCGCCCCAGTGTCGCCCCAGGTTGCAGTTTGGGGAGGCAACGCCTATGCTTGAAAGTGACCAAAATTAAAACAAAACTATCTCTTTAATACAGTACTCCACCTCTTCACTTTGTATACCCTGAGTTATTTCCAGTGCCTTTTTAGAGACCATCACCGTCCTAATATAATTATAAGACATATTTAATAAATCTTCACAAAACATACACAATAAGTAATATTTTAAATATTTCCATACAAAGTGCAAGTGTAGAATAGATTGAGAGAAAAATATAAGTTGCCAATGAGATGTTTGAATCCTGGGGTGGTGTTATAAATGATCCTATCTAATTCCCATCCAGGATGCAGAATTTTGGAGCACTGATAGACCCAGCTGAGTCTAAACTCTTATATGTTAACAGTATTTGAATTTCTGATTTGTGTCTTTTATATGAAAGGGTTCTTTAAGTGATTGCTAGATTGATTAATTGTCTGAGAATGCACCTGTATTAACAAATTAGTTAATAATTACAATCATACAGATCACATATACCTTTAAATGTCAGTTCATTAAATGGAAACTTTTCATGGAAATGAACCAATTTTGAGGCAATTTTAGTAGGAAAGGTGTTTCAAGTTGAGGGTGGAATTTCTGATCAAAATGAGAGACGGACTGACAAAGTGACTAACCTCCACCCCAGAGTAGCCCAGTGGTTAGGGTATGTACCTGGGATGTGGGAAAACCAGGTTCAAGTCTCTGCTCTGTCTGGTTCAGGCCAGGTCTCTCTCTCGTTTGTTGTGAAAAAACTTTGAAAGGTCTCAGATTTGTCCCAATGCAGAAAGGGAAAATTTCTGAAATTTCAAAAATGTTTATGGGAAAGGAAAACTGTTTCCTGCCCAGTTCAAGTAGGGTATGTACAGGACAGTGATTCTGAATTGTTTCCCCTATGTTCAGTGTAATTACAAGAAGAAAGTTAATGTGAAGGTAGGTTTTGGGGTATCAGCAGCTGAGGTGTCCCTGATATTGTGTTTCTATTGAGGCAGCAATTCTGGATGTGGGAGCTAGGTTCCCAAGAGCATGAGGGCCTGTCTGTTGAGGGCTCTTAGGTTTTTGGGGTTGGATCCCTGGTTCATTCCACAAGATGGCAAACCCTGTTTCCACCTTCTCATGCTGGAACAATATGGGGATAACTGCACAAGTGAAACCTCACTGAGTTTTCTTTCCTTGGGTTTCACCATGTGATTTGGGGTGCTTTGTCCTTAAGTTTTAAGTTTAAGACTTCCAGGTTGAAAAGAAACCTGATGATTGATACATGAGTGAGTACATAGTGTTGGAATCATGTATATCAAACACCTCACAGATTTCCCTTAAAACAAAAGTCAAAACTAGGAAAGTCTTGAAAACTAGTGAAGTTTTGAAAACAGCTATATGCTGGAGACCAATCATGAATAGTGTTGACCCCAGATGAGAATAACTATGGGAACAAAAAGCGAAACTGCCAGTCAGGGAATTTGTTAAACAATGAATTCTCAGCCGCTTTCTTTTCCTTTTAGAACAAAGAAAATAAACAAAGAAAGAAGAAAAATATACCACGAGATTACAGGGAATGGGACAAGTATGTTAAATCGTCATCTTTTAATTTTGTATTGAACTTTTTTGTTTTTGTAATAGAACTCTACTAGGTAATGTGTACCAATTTAGATTTTTTTAAAAGAGAAACCTGTTTCATGCAATAATAATATATTGCAAGAAATTATAAGAATACAGGTGTGTTTTTATGTAATATAAACATTCTCTTTACAATATAAACAGTGTAGCATGGAGCCAGTACTTGAGAACAAAAAGTGAGCTGCAAAGTCTATTTTATTTGTTCAAGCTAGATATGTAGGCCAGAAAGTAAACACACAACATAAATAAGAAGTAATTTAATTTTTCAAATTTCATTTTTAATCATTAAGACTTTAAAGTCTAAGGAGATATTAATAAAACAAGTAAGGAAATTTAATATCTGATTTTTACCTTAACTTTAAAAACAAAACAGGAGATATTTATTTTATGTTCCTCAATGTGGTATTTGTGTGCATTAGGTCCTATTTCTGCATTAAGACACCAAGCAGGTGGATTCCTGCTCCTGCACTGAGCTCCATTAACTTCATAGACTTGGGCTTGGTTCAGGCACAACAGTTTGCCCTCAGTCAGTTAGTTGCAGGAGCAGGGCCTTATACGCTATCTGACCATTGTATAAGGCTCTAATCTTACAAAATGTACTTATGTGCATAAGTGCTTACAAAAACAGGGCCTTAGTGTTTACATGTGGTCTAGAAAATATATTGCCAAAAGATAATTTTGACAGAAATTCACTCTTTTGTCATATGCCCTCTAATCGGTGGCAAAATGATTTGTCAATCAATTTAAGTTTCAAATAACCTGGGACAGAATAACCTGCATAAGAATAAATGGAGCAGGTGATTTTTATTTTCCTTGTTCACCTACACACTAGAAAGGAGCTGCTATATTTATTGCTGTGAAAAATACAAGATGTATTATAATACTTCAGTGTAATATCTCTTATATTTATTGCAGTTTTACTTATCTGTTCTGTCTTCCAATCCTTGAATTTAATTGGGTGTACAGAAAGTAATTACCTTTAGAGCTGGTTGGAAATTTTTCAACAAAATTTTTTTTTCTTAGAAAAATGCCAATTTGTAAAAATCAAAAGTGTTTGTGGAAAGAGCCAGTTTTGATGAATTTCTCATTCTGAAAACATTTGAAAAATAATAGATTCAAACGGTCAAAATCTCATTTTGACATTTTCTAAATTAAAAAGTTCCATTTTTTAGTTTGAAAGGACTTTTCACTTTGAAATTTAAGTTAATTTAAGGTGAAACTCTTTTAAAATTCTGATTTGAATTTTCTAAATTTTTGGTTCAAAAAAAATTGTCAAGATTGACTTGATTTGGGTCAGGAATAAGTTTTGAAATCTTGAAAATTCTTGCAAGATGGAAAAATTTGTTTCCCATCCAGTTATAATTAAAATGGTCTTCATTGTTTGTAGGTAGTGGATGACTTGGTTTTGACTGCATTTCTTTTCTTTTGTTGGATTGTGTTACAACTGTAACATTTACTTGAAATTAATTAATGAAAGATCTTTGGGAAAGCAGCAATGGAGCGGTGGCTGAAACATTGTTTCTTCTTCGAGTGCTTGCTCATGTCGATTCCATTTTAGGTGTGAGCATGCCCACGTGCACAGTTGTCGGAGATTTCTGCCTTTGCGGTATCCATAAGGCCGGCAGTGGCGCTCCCATGTGGCGGTATATCAAATTAAATTACTCAGACTGTTGGGCCACCTGGCAGCATGTACTTATGTGGTCTGGCACACACAACTCTGCCTCAGACCCCGTCAGGTGTGGTTGGTATTGGTCTGTGTCCCAACCTGGCACAGCATGGACCATGTGATCAGGATTCTGGACAACATACTGTTGTCCTTCCTCTAGTGGCAGGATCCCATATTGGTGCTGGAAGGCGTTCCCTTCGCAGCCTCGGCCTCATCAGTGACCATTGTCTCCGACGCCTCGGACCTGGGATGGGGAGCCCACCTGGGAACTCTCAGCTCTCAGGGTTGTTGGTCCAGTCGCGATCGTTCCCTGCATATCAATGTCAGGGAACTCAGGGTGGTTCGACTAGCCTGCCAAGCCTTTCTACCTCAGGTTCAAGACAGGGTTGTTGAGGTCCTGATGGACAACACGGCTACATTCTTCTATATCAACAGGCAGGGTGGAGCCAGTTCGTCTGCCCTCTGCCAGGAAGTCCTCTGGCTCTGGGACTTCTGTCTGCAGCACAACATCCATCTTGTAGCCGCTCACCTTCCAGGGACCAAGAACGCTTTGGCAGATCGCCTCAGCAGGGTGTTCTCATCTTGCCACAAGTGGTCCCTTCATCTGGAGGTGGTCTGTTCCATCTTCCTCAGGTGGGGAACTCCCCAGGTGGACCTGTTCGCGTCCCGGCAGAAAAGGAAATGCCACGTCTTCTGCTCGATTGGGGGCATGGACAGAGGATCCCTGTTGGACGCCTTTCTGCTCCTGTGGTCGGGGGCTTTGATGTATGCCTTCCCTCTGGTGCCGTTGCTACCCAGGGTCCTTAGGAAGATCAAACAGGACAAGGCGAGAGTCATCCTCATAGCGCCGGCGTGGTCGCGCCAACACTGGTTCAGCGCTCTGCTGGACCTCTCAGTGGCGACCCTGTTCCAGCTACCGCCCAGGTCAGACCTGTTGTCCCAGAACCACGGCAGTCTTTTGCACCACAACCTGGCGGCGTTACATCTGATGGCCTGACGGCTGCGTGGCTAAACGCGCAGGAACAGCAGTGCTCAGCTGAGGTTCAGCACGTGCTGTTGGGAAGTAGGAAGCAGTACACCAGAGCGACATACCTGACCACGTGGAAATAGTTCATCTGCTGGATTGCGGACAAAGGTGTTTGTCCTGAGCAGGCTTCGCTGTGGCTTATTCTGCGCTACCTCCTGCATCTTAAGATCCAGGGCTTGTCCTGCTCATCAATCAAGGTCCATTTAGTGGCCATCTCAGTCTTCCGCCCACTGTTCGAGGCAGGTCAGTTTTTGCTCAGGATATCATGACCAGATTCCTTAAGGGCCTAGAGCGCCTCTACACGCAAGTCAGGGACCCTGTCCCACCGTGGGACTTGAATCTGGTGCTGTCGCAGCTCACAGGTCCTCTCTTCGAGCCTCTGGCTTTCTGCTCTCTCCTCCTTTCCTGAAAGGTCGTGTTCCTGGTTGCGGTGATGTCGGCCTGCCGACATCTGAGATTCGGGCACTCACCTTGGAGCCGCCATACACGGCCTTCTACAAGGACAAGGTCCAGCTAAGACTGCATCTGCCTTTTCTTCCCAAGGTAGTCTCTCAGTTTCATTTGAGCCAGGACATTTACTTACTGGTCTTCTTTCCGAAGCTGCATAAGTCGGAGGAGGAGGAGCATAGGCTACATGCCCTGGACATCAGGAGGGCTCTGGCCTTTTACATTACGGAATGGCTTGGTCATGTCAAGTCGACATAATTATTCGTTGCTGTGGCCGACAGCGTGAAAGGTTGCCCTGTAGCCACTCGAAGAATTTCTTCTTGGATCACTGCCTGCATTCGCTTCTGCTATGACCAAGCGAAGGTGCCACCCCCAGCGATCATCACCGCCCACTCTACAAGGGTGCAGACCTCTTTGGCAGCCTTTCTGGCCCATGTGCCTATCCAGGACATCTGTAAAGTGGCCACTTGTTTGTCCGTACCTTTTCGTCCCACTATGCACTGACCCAGCAGGCCCAGGACGATGCTGGCTTTGGTAGGGCAGTACTGCAAGCCGCTAAGCTGTGAACTCCGAGCCCACCTCTGTGGATTCTGCTTGTGAGTCACCTAAAATGGAATCGACATGAGCAAGCACTCGAAGAAAAAACGGTTATCTACCTTTTCATAACTGTTTTTCTTCAAGATGTGTTGCTCATGTCTATACCATTTCCCGCCCTCCTACCCCTCGGTTGGAGTTGCTGGCAAGAAGGAACTGAGAGGGTGCAGGGCCAGCGGCACCTGATATGCTGCCACATGGGAGTGCCATTCCAGAGGACACCACAGCTGGCTATACGGATACTGCTAAGGCAGAAATCTCCAACAACTGTGCACGTGGGTATGCGCACACCTAAAATGGAATGGACATGAACAACACATCTTGAAGAACAACAGTTACGAAAAGGTAGGTAACCGTTTTTTTCCCTCTGGTCTTCCAGTTACAATATTTAATCACTTTATGTCTGTTCCTGAGAAGTGAAAAGTACCTGCAACTCCAGTTGTCTTCAGTGGGAGTTATAAGTGCTCAGTATCTTTTAGGGTTGGCCCTTTAAAACACTGTTTCTTGAATTTTGCCTGATTCTTAGAATGCTGTACTGGGTTTGAAGAGTATTTGGAGTGGACAGCATGGAAGAAAACACACACAAAGGAAATATAAATTGTTTAAAAAATTGTGTGTTTTTTCCCTGAATAATTTTGGATTGTTGAACAGATTGACAGAATCTTTGTACCCAATTTAGTTTATATCTGAAATATAGTATGTTGTTCTGTGGGTAAAGAAATCTTGTTTTGCTGCATTTTACTGTGTGTATGCAATATAGATTTATATATTTTTTTACTTTAAGGTTTGATGTGGAAAAGGAGTGTTCAAAAGTTGATGAGGTCTATGAAGAAAATAATTCAAAAGCATGTTTCAATATTAGTTCAAATTTACCCGTAATTGAAAAGAAAATAGAGACAACAGGTAAATGATGACTTAGTATCAAAATTGTCTTTTCTTTGATTAGATATAGAATTAACATTGCTCAGTAGAATGTTCATGCAAATTGAAGAAACATTATAGAGGAAAAATGTGCTTTTGCTATATATCTCTTCCTTGCTTTTTTCAGCCATCACAGAAAATAAAAATAAACCATGTTCTTAGTAAGTCAGCCCAGAAAATGGCCATTTTGCAGAAATTGTGATACGCCTTCTAATAATGCTTATTGAAAAAGATTTGCTTTAAATATAAGCTTATGAAATTGGGGCTGGGGATGGTGAAGAAAAATACAACATCAAGATTGATTTGTCCCATTGTAAACAAAACATAAAGTGTATCAGGGCGTAATTATGATATTCTCATAGAGCTTAAAATCACTTTTCCTCTTACTGTTTATAAAAAAACAAATCAGTGGAAGCTTGAAACAGATTTTTATTTTTCTTCTATAATGCTGATACTACTTGGTTGTTGTAGCATTGCTCATGCATGTTGGTATGCTGTGTGTGTAGTTTAAAGGTATTTAAGGATGGTTTCAAAGAGTATTGAAACCACAGTTGTCTTTAAATTATCTGAATAAAAATAATTGGAGACAGTACATACATGATGGCTTATTGCCTACCATGCAATAGTGAGAAAGCCTAGTTCTGCTTACTGTCTATTAATAGTTGCAAGTTAATGTGAAGCTTAAGGCTTGCTTGGATCAACCCTGAATTGGTCTGCTGAGAACTTTATTCTCCTTCTCAACCATCCAGCTTCCTTCCTCTGATGACTTGGCTTCCCATCACCTTTCAACATGTTGACCCATTTCCTCAGATGGCCAGATAATAGAAGCTTGTCCTAGCAAAGCGAAAAACAGGTTTTAGCCCAAACAAATGATCCTTCTGGAGTGCTAGTGGTAGTTATTCCAAACATGCTAGCTTCTACTACAGATGCAGAAGGATCAATTGTTCAGCTGAAAACGTTTTTCTACATAGTTAGTTTATCAAAGTGAAAGCACATAGTCTTCTCTACCAAAAGAGAATTTGAAATAGAAATAGCTTAACAATAAGTTTAATGTTTTGTATATATTATACTGTGTGTTTAATAATTCATAATGGAAGAAAATTGCAAAGACACTAAGCCCATTGTTTCCTGCTTGTTGTATATAATGTATATACAGAGAGAACTTGTTATAGGGCATCCCAATGCTCACTTTATTTACTTATTTAAACTCTAGTATAAGCAACTAAGATTTTATTGGTGGCATGGAGGATGGCAAGGGTCTTAAGTCTTAAGCCAAGAGGCACAGATTTTTCAAGTATTCCTTTTCGAATGCATACTCAATTTTGTCTACCCTTGGACTCTGTTCATCCTAGAAAATTTCAGTACAATTTTTCCACTGAAAAGAGTCTCGAAAAATGTGTTCTAGTCACTTGAACGTTGCTAAATACAAAATATCCACATAAAATCTTTTATCCTGAAATATACACATACTGATAAAGTTTCCTTTTTTTATTTCACTTTTGGAGTTTTCACACTTTTTTTAATAACATGGACCATGTCTTAATAGAGAGGTTGTCTTGTGGTCCACTCTTTTGATAACTTTTAAAACCAATGTACACAATATAATTAATTTAAAATACTTCTGTGTTAAAATGTCATATTTTGCATCTGTTAACTTTTAGATATAAAAACAGCAAACTATTATGTTCTAGGTATGACTAAGAAAGAGAGAAATTTTATTGCTAATCGTGAAAAAGAAAAAGGTAATGAAGCCTTTGCCATTGGGGATTATAAAGAAGCAGTGACATATTACACTCGGTGAGTTAATGCCATGTGAACCATTATTTAAAACTTGTAATTATTAATTAATATTATGTATATATCAATCTAGTTCAGGGTCTTTCTTGTTGAAGCAACAAATGATCAACTTTCTAAAATGGCAAAAGAATTTACATTGGGGTATCTCAAGATTCTGCATGTTGATTAACGATGTATAAGCAACCAGGAAAAATGGGTGAAGAGTGAGGTGGCCAAATTTGCAGATGACACAAAACTATTTAGGTTATTCAAGGCTAGAGGAGACTCCAGAGGGACCTCACGAAAGTACCGTATATACTCGTTCATTAGCCTGTTCATTTATAAACCAACCCCCCAAGACGGTTAGGTAAAAATAGCAAAAACTGTAAGACCCTTTCATAAGCCGACCCTATAGTTCAGGGGTTGGCAAACTTTGGCTCCTGGCCCGTTAGGGTAAGCCGCTGGCGGGTTGGGACTTTTTGTTTACTTAGAGCATCTGCAGGCATGAAGCTCCTCAGCTCCCAGTGTCCGCGGTTTGCCGTTCCCAGCCAATGGGAGCTGCGGGAAGTGTCTGGGAACAGCAAACCGTGGACACTAGGAGCTGAGGGGGGAGGGATGGGATGGCTCAGTGGTTTGAGCATTGGCCTGTTAAACCCAGGGTTGTGAGTTCAATCCTTGAGGGGGCCATTTAGGGATCTGGGGCAAAATCAGTACGTGGTCCTGCTAGTGAAGGCAGGGGGCTGGACTTGATGACCTTTCAAGGTCCCTTCCAGTTCTAGGAGATGGGATATCTCCATTAATTAATTAATTTTTTTATTTATTTAATTATTTTAATGTAATCTAATGAAAAACCTGTTGTTGTTGTTATAATAACAACTGAACAAATATGTATTCACCTTCAAAATTACAGTCAATATTTAAAATCAGTAAATGGATATTTAAAACAAGTAACTTAGAACAATATGAGACTTTAAAAAGTCTTAAAATCCTTCAAAGTCTGAATCAGTCTCTGATTCACCAAACAGTTTATTAAACTCGGCTTCAGTCACAGCTGCACCTGAATTGTCATCGTAGATGTCGGCAGTGTCGTCTTCAGACTCAGATTCCTTCTCATCATCAGCCTCTGTTGTGTCATCATCAAATATGGCATCATCTTCTGACCCGTCGAGTACATTGCTGATACAGCATTTCCTAAATGATTTTTCTATCATTTCCAAGGGAATGAACACCTACGCGTCCTTGATCCACTGGGCAACCAGATTGATTTCGGGCTTCATAAGATTCCCGCCTTTTGTCAACTTCGCCATGCCTGAGCACATCCATTCAGACTACATTTTGTGTAGCCTGTCTTTAAAGGGTTTGTTTAGGCAGACCTCAAGCGGTTGTAGAACTGAAGTTAAGCCTCCAGGTATTACAGCCAAAGTAGTTTTCATATTTTTGGCCACATTTTTCACCTCTTCTGTCTTGTGTGCCCTGCACATGTCCGAAACGAGCATAGCAGGTTTCTTGAAAAGTGCTCCTGGTCTCTTATTCCACACTTTTTCCAGCCATTCATTAGTCCCACTTTCATCCATCCATCCCTTTTCGCGTGCACGTACGATGACACCAGCAGGAAATTTCATGTTTTTAGGCAAGGTTTTTCTTTTAAAAATAACAACAGGAGGGAGCTTTGATCCATTTGCCAAACACGATAAAACCACTGTAAAATGGATTTTTTCATGGCCAGTGGTTTTAATTAAAACTATTTTTGAACCAACACTGGTTACTGTTCTGTTGCTCGGGAGATCGAATGTCATTGGTCTTTTGTCCATATTTCCTATTTGTGACAGTTCAAATGCATATCCCTTTCGATATTTTATAATAAACCTTTGGAAAGATTCGATTTTTTTCTTCCAGATCTCTCGGCAGCTTTTGCGCTATCTTTGTTCGCTGACGAAGACAGAGACCATGACGGTTCATGAAGCGAGTACACCAACCCGCTGATGCAACAAATATTGACGGCTTTACTGACTTGTATTTGTCGTCTTTCGACATTTGCAGAGCATGCAGACGAATTCCAGTTCTAGTGACAATGTACCCATTTTGTCAACATTCAACAACCCAATTATTGAGATCTTTCTCTAGTTCAGGAAATGAAGCACACCTCGTTGGACATTTTTTCTTGCTTCTTGGCATGTCTTTTAGTGTTTTATTTTTTCGCCATTCTCTTACTTGCTTCTCATTGATACAGAATTCATGAGCAGCGGCGCAATTATTGTTTGCTTCTGCATATTCAACAACTTTAAGCTTGAACGCTGCGTGATAAGCAGACCTTTTTCTTTTGATTTCACCGTTGTTCATTTTAAATACTAGTATGAAAATAGATTATTATTGTAGTTATAGATTTTATAGGACTTTATATAGGAATGTCACCTGCTTTATCATTGTCAAATTATTATTGTTCTTTGTTTATTTCAAAGCAGCCCTGTAGATTGGCATGTCTTTGGGGATAACAGGCTATTTCAATTTTATTAGAGATTCCTTTGATTCTGCATGTTATATTTTCATATTGGCTCGAGACTTATGAGGTCCATTGGTAGAAATGCATGAAGAGATCAAATTACACAGTAGTGGACTGACACCAGTGCTATAGTACTATCATTCATTGTATGTTTCTGATTGGTTTGTAAGGCATAGCATTTTGTGAAATGCATTGGTCAAACGTCACACAGATCTGCAGCACTGCTCTTTTAGTATTCCTTTCAAGCCAGTCTAGTACACTAAATAAAGCCTTTGCAACTTTAAAAGGCTGCAGTATTGACATCAATAAATGAGTCGGCAAACTTTGGCTCCAAGCCCCTCAGCTCCCATTGGCTGGGAACGGCGAACCGTGGCCACAGGGAGCCGAGGGGCTCCATGCCTGCAAACGCTCCAGGTAAACAAAATGACAATGTATTAGATATTCAATTCAATGATTCCATAGAGTTTAAAATCATCAAATTTTGGTGTAGACCCGTTTATAAGCCAACCCCTGCTCTTTGATGTGTCATTTTTTTACCAAAAATATTTGGCTTACGAACGAGTATATACAGTAAAAGAACTGCATGATGCCAAATGAAATTCATTGTTGATAAATGCAACATGTTATGTATTGGTAGGAACAGTTTCAACTAGTAATACACACTGTTGGGTTCTAATGTAAGTATTAACTACTTAGGAAAATGACGGAGCATTATTGTGGACAGCTCCATTAGAACATCCTCTAAGTGATCTGTACTGGTCAAGAATGCAAAAATATTAAGATTGGGATACAAAATAACGCTGGGTTTCCACAGGATCTCTTCCTCCTTAAGTGTACGGGATAGACTATGCTCTGAAAATGAATCCTGTTGTGTAGTGAATGAAGTTGTTGTTGTTTGTGGGCCTCCTGCCTCATTTGTTACAAAAGTTGGAAGATGTGTGGCAGGGAAATGCAGGAAGATAAAGTATAGTCTTGTGGTTAAGGCAGTCGAATGGTACTCTGAAGTTGGATTCTCACTTTGCCTCTGCCACAAATGTCGTGTGTGATGCTGAGCAAGTCTATAAACCAAAATTTTCACAGGTGGCCACTGTGTGTTCCTCATTTTGTGGTTATGCAACTTGCAACACCTAGTCTGATTTGTGGAAGTGATGCTGAGCACTCACTGCTGCAACTGAAGTCAGTGGGAATTCTGCTCTGAACATATAATTGCTTACCATTTATTAGCACATTAAAAAAAAAGTCAGGCCCTAGGTTTCCTAAATTGGACATCAAAAATTTGTGGACATTTTGGTCTTAATTTCTGTGCCTCAGTTCCCTATGTGTAAAATTTGGATAATTATACTACCTCCTCTCACAAGGGTGTTGAGAGGATAAATCTGTTAATGTATGTAAAGCAGTAAGACGCTATGATCTCACAGAAAAGTCTATGAGGAAATTAATTCTGTATTCAGTGTAGAATGGTTTGCAATAAATAAAGTGTGGGGCTACATATGAAATGATGAGGATAAAAATAAATATTGACTAGATACCCATTCGGTGAACATCATTCATCCTTTACACTGAATGAGGCAAAAATAGTATGTGATCACATAATTAAAGTAGTAATCATAATGCATACACAGGCAACCTTAATTCTGGTGTTTTCTATCTTTTGAGTGCTTGACTTTGGAACCTTAATGTTCTTTTACTGTAGTTTTTTGGGGTATAATATGGATATCAAGAACATCCACAGTTGCATTATATAAGATATTTATTTATTTGTTTGTTTATTAGAAGGAACATAAGCTCTCATTCTTCAGGGCCTGAGCTAACCGCTAATTTGCAGGGTTAGAAGAAACTTCCCCACATTTGACCACAATGTTTTGTTTAGTTTTTATTTTTTCCCACCTTCATCTGAAACATCTGGCATTGGTCAGAGACAAGATAGTATGCTGAATGGACTATTGGTCTGATCCAGTATGGCAATTATTATTTACTTAAGTTTATAAATTCATAAAATTTGAATAAAATGTGTTTTAGAGTGGATTGATAGCAATTTTAAGTGACTACAGTCCTATCTAGTATACAGCCATATAGAATAAGGTCACTATAACCTGATTATTCTATACTGCATGTCCATCTTTTTTCCTCCTATATACCATCTATCCAGCCCTACCACTCCAAATTGAAAATAAAAAGTAGGTTTTGTTTTAGTCACCATAATTTACAAGAAAGATTTAATAAGAGACGAGGAGCCTCAAAGTTCTCTAAATTGTTTTAAGAGGTGCATCACTTTTGTACAGAGCATGCTCTGGTGCAGTTCTATGTTGCCATGATTTTAAAATAAATTGATCTTGCATTCTGTTTCACAGTCCTCTAGTTGAAATTGCATTGCTTAGTGATTTTAATTTTATTATAACTCTTTACAATTTAAAACTAACTTTAAGTTTTTGTATACTTTTGTTTTCTTTCTAGCATACAGCTCACTTTGTCTTGTCTTTTGCAGGAGCATATCAGTATTGCCCACTGTGGCAGCATATAATAACAGAGCTCAAGCAGAAATCAAACTTCAAAACTGGCATAATGCTTTCCAGGATTGTGAGAAAGTGTTAGATTTGGAGCCTGGCAACCTAAAAGGTGAGATGTAAACTTGCATTTCTCAGAATTTTATTTCTAGAGAAAAGTCTTTTTTCGGGGTGGGGGGCTGGGGGGAAACACAGGCCTGGTTTATCATCCATTGACATCAATGGGAGATCTTTCCTTTGACTTCAGTTGTCAGACCTCAAATGTGGGGAAAAATAGTCCCAGATTAGCTCCGCCTATGCTAGTTTAAATGGCAGTTTGGGGATTTGTACAGTTTTGTCCTGCCTATCTTTGATCCAAGATCCTAAGATTGGGCTGAAGTGACAATAGGATGATGGTGTGTGGTCAGATCATGCTTTCAAAACGATGATTGTTAGCCACATCATATTGGTGACATGCACTGTCTCCTAATATTCACAGAAAAGCACCTCTTTTAACAAGCTTAACAGCTGCATTAAAACAACAGTGAAAGGTGCTTGGTGCATGCTTTCTTACTAAGATAAGTATTTGTAAATAGCTAACTAAACTTCTATGGAGAGAGTGGGACAAATTGGAAAATTATTAAGAGGAATGATAATTCATGTATCACCATATAAATGTAGGGTATGACATATCAAATTATGTGATTACAAAAAATCAGTAACTTAATACATAGCCATTATGAAGTGGATGCAAGGCTTTATGAAATTTAATGCAGAATTGTTTTGTACTCCACATTGTACTTTCTCTGATTGAATGTGAATTAATTGTAGTCTGCAGTATAATTTAGAACAATACAATATAAATAGTGTGTTTGTTAATTTGTAGCTCTTATGCGCCGTGCCACTGTACACAAGCATCTACAGAATTACCAGGCAGCTATAGAGGACTTGGCCAAAGTATTACATGTTGAACCAGAAAATGCCATAGCTAAGGTAAAGACAAGTAACTCTGTGTATTTCTAGAATGAAGGTGTGTTTATAGAACAAGATGCATGTTGCTTGTATTATGTGTTTGATGTAAGATAAAAGTGATATACTATAGTATTATAATGGATGTATATCTAGTCACTTTTTATTCAGGCAAACACCACTGAAAAGTTCTGTTTGGCTCACTGACTTCACTTTTCTGAATGAATTTACTTTATGTTGAGGTCTGGGCTTCTACTTTTTTATAATGGCAAATACAGTATGAGATATGAACCATAAAAGATTCTATCTTAAAATACTTGTTAAAATGTTAATATATAATACATATTTTAAATGACTATTTTAAAAAAAGGACCTAAACAATATAATCCTGTTTGTGACTACAGATGAGATGGTAATTATAATAAAAATGTATGACTGATTTATGTGCCTAGTCTTACAGTCCAGTGGGTCTCAAACTTTTTTTTTCCGCGAACCACTTGAAAATTGCTGAGTGTCTTGGCAGACCACTTAATGATCTTTCCAAATGTTGTTTGTACCATTAGCTAACTATTGTAAAGTGCTTTGGATAAAAGCGCTATATAAAAAAAACCCTTAATAATAATTAAAGTTTTTTTTTGCTCTACAAATAAAAGCACACAACTCACATTTTAATATCAGTAGTCTTATCTTTCTAATGCAATGGATGTGCCATCTCTCCCCTGCCGCGGTAGTCCCTGAACTGGGGCTGGGAAGGAGGGGGGTCTCTCCCCGGCAGCTGCAGCCCTGGAGCTGGGGAAAGTCGCCTCTTTCTCTGGCCGCTGCAGCCCTTCACATCCCAAATTCAGCACACACCCTCTTCTCACCCCACTGCCCGCTCCCACCTACACCCTAATCCCCCCAAGGCCACCACCTCACATGTGCGTCTTCATTCCCGTAGAGCCACGTTTGTGGAGCACCCTAATTAGGTGGGTGGCCCTTCATTCTCTCGTGTGGCTGCCCAGGTGCGCACCTTAGAGGGAACTATCCGTGGACCACCTGAATGGAGTGTGGTCCACAGACCACAATTTGAGAACCTCTGATATAGTCAGTTGTAGAGGAGGCATTGCTGAATCATTTCTGAGAGTTCTTTCCAAAAACTAAAGCTTGTTATCTTGTCTCCTTACCATTATTAATATTTACATTTTACTAGGAATTATCAATAACAGTAAAAATTAAACCTCAATAATTCACACTTTACTGTTCTGCTTTCTCTGTATTTCACATACACACAATGACAGTCTTCCTCCTCTTCTCAGCAAAGATTTGGTAGAAACAACTGTGGCTAGATCTGATGTTACTAAGATTTCATATCTCCTTGTTTAATTTTACTTATTAATTTCCCAAAATAAGGAGTTTCCAGTTATTTTTATAGGCTTTAATGTTCTGATCATCCAATAAGGTTCTGAGCATCTCTGGAGATGTGTTGAGCACCGTCAACTCCCATTGACTTTCATGGGTTGGAATGCACCAGGCTACTTTGCAGCCTCACAGGATCAGGCCCTAAATCCACACACAGTATGAAAACATAAAACTTACAGAATAAATTCATAACAGTTAACCACCCTTGTCTCCAAGTCCCGAAGAATAGAATGTCCTTTCCAGTATGCCCTTAAAGTCAACAAACAAAGGGTTTTGTTGGACCAGGGTAGAAAGTTTGCTCAAGAACTGAAGTTCCTTCACTGTCAAGGCCCAGCCTGCAGCCTTCTTGTGTATACCAGGAGGCTGTTGGCTTGAGTGCCGTGACTAACCATCAGTGCAAATTAGCAAGGTTCTATTGTGCCTCAATCTCATTACAGTAATTCCTCGCTTAATGTTGTAGTTGTGTTCTTGAAAAATGCGACTAAGTGAAATGATGTTAAGCGAATCCAATTTTCCCGTAAGAATTAATGTAAATGGGGGGGGTTAGGTTCCAGGGAAATTTTTTTCATTGCCTGCTAGTATGGTACTTTGTCCACTACTTGCGGGATTCTCTGGAAGAGCAGCCCATCGTAGCTAGTGGGTGGGGGCTTGGAACCAGGGTGGTCCGGCAGCCCCCCATCAGCTCCCCTCCACCCCCCGTGCCTCCCACCCACTGGTGGGCCCCCCGGAGCAGTGCTTCCCCCCCTCTCCCCCCCCCCATGCCTCCTGAACACAACGAAACAGCTGTTTCACCACGTTCAGGATGGGGGAGGCGCTGATCTGCGGAGGCCGCGGGCGGGAGGCGCTGGGTGTGTGTGTGGAGGGGAGCTAATAGAGGGGGCTGCCAGCCCACCCTAGTTTCAACCCAAAACAATGTTATAAGCAAACATTGCACAACTTTAAAGGAGTATGTTCCCTAATAGATCAGCGACGTAACAACGTTAACTGGGACGACGTTAAGTGAGGAGTTACTATCACAAATCTCCACAGTAATACAGTAATGTTTTCTTAGGATTAAATAGGAATGTGGCAAATGATAGAAAATGCAAAAAGTTAGCCAGAAAATTGCTAGATTTTATTTTTGTTTGTGTGGTAATGGTGACATCAAGTCGTCATTTAGGTATCAGGTAAATCACAAGTTCATCATTTCAAATAAAATTGTTACTTTGCTTAACAGCACCATTTAAACATCAGAAGTTAAACGAGCATTAAGTATTAGAAAGAGTATAAGATATTGCACTCATTTCTTTAGCAGAATAAGGTGTTTTGTTTTTTCTTTTGAAAACACACTTTCTCTTACTTTTCTTTAGTAGAGACTTAGTGTAGAGAAAGTGAGTGTAGTCAAAAATGTGTGTAATCCACAAAGGGGCATTCTCCTCTGGTAATCTCAGAATGTCTATGGTAGGTTGAAGAAAATCTATACTCAGGATAGCTCTACTCAAATGCAGCATTTGCTTTGCAGAGAAGTCTTGCTTTAGCATGTTTTACAATTGGGTTAATTAAGTTAAGTGGCTTGCCTGAGAGTATGCAATTAATGACTCATTTGATAATGGGAACAAAGTTCTTGAATTCTAATAATTAGCTGTAACCTCTAGGACATATGTCAAATCTGGCCTTTTAGAAGCTTTTTACAAACAGAAATTAGCAGCTTTAGAATTCCTCTGGTATTTTTCATATAGTTATGATAATGAAATAAATGGGAGAATTGTAGCTCTTGTAAGACCAGCATTACTTTTCATCAGTCAGCAGTGTGCTTCTGCTAGACTCTGCAAGAAATTATCATTTCCTATGGTTGATCCTAGCTGTTAGTTTAACTATTTGAAAAGAAAACAAAAGTCCCTAGCAGACATTGGGCTCTCTGTACTGTGGATTTTGATTAAACTATTTTTAGACCTTTTCTAAAGTTCCAGTGTAGTAATCCATTGTCTTTGTAGACTGTGCCAGTTAGTTCCATTGTCAATGTTGCACTGTCTACACACAGAGGTAGGTAGACACAATCTATGTTCCAAAGAATTTATTAACAAATGGTACCTATGGATTTGTATAATATGTATATGCAGTAGGCATTGGATATAGCATTGGAATGGCAGCCAGAAACAGTTTAGTCCTAATCCCAGTTCTGAAACGGACTCACTATATAGTCTTGAAGTCATTTAACCTATCTCTGTTTTCTTATTTTTAAGGTAATACTGAGTAATTATTTCAGAGGTGTGTTGTAGGCATTATTTAGACAATGGAAAGTGCTTTGCAAAGGTAAAGCACTATCTAAATGCTAATTTTTTAAAGACTTTTAAAATTGCTATTATTGCTATACTGCAGAAAAATCTGTCAGATATTGAGCAGAAGCTGAAAGATTTAGAGCCTGTATCTGAGACTCACACCAAAGGAAAAAGAATAGTTATTCAAGATATCGAGGAGTCGGACGGTGATGAAGAAAGAGGAGGAAACGGAGAAGAACATGAAAGTGGCAGTGGAGATAAAAGTAATATGTTTGTCTATGTAATTGTTACCTGGGATACTGATCTTGGCAATTTGAAGGTTTTAAGCAGTGTGAATGTCCAACTCTCACTGTATCTTTAGCCCAGTTTCCCCACTCCCCCAGCTTTGCAGTGGCACCCAAGGCCACAGAACCACTTTTTAATTTATTTTTCCCACTCTTTTGAGGATTGTTATCCCATTTACTTCCAGTATGGCTTTCCATTACCCTGGACTACTGGGTCCTTGATAACTGAGAAGGACACAGCCCTCCAGTTAAATGTTATGGTGCACCTCCATACCCTCCCCTTTTAGGCCTTTATGCCATGTCTGAATTCTCTCTCTGCTCAATCTGAGTCTTTTTTAGAGATCCTTCTCGCAAGTATTTTACTATGAGAACTTGTTGCTTTCCTGTTAGAGATTAGAATAATAGGCAAAGTTAAAAGGGTTACATGGTAATGTCTTGTAGCAGGTCATTTAGCCCTCATTTACTCACTTTGGTACCCAGTACATTTATTTTTTTTTGTCTCCCCCATTCCAATGAATTTGTTCATCTCATCCACCTATTGTACCTTGTCTTTTTTAGATTATAAACTGGCACAGGGACTGTAATTTATTATTTGTTTGTACCTTGCCTAGCACAGTGGGGTCCAACTTGGTTATGGCCTTTAAGCACTACTACCATATAAATGTTAATAATAGCTCTTCCTTAGTGCAGTTTAGGAGGAAAGACTGCAATTGTCTCCATTCCCATGGCTAGTACACAGGCTGTCATTTGTGTAGGATTAGATTTCTCAAGGTGACCCCAAATGCTACAATCTTTCCTCAGAACTGATTCTGTGCTCTTCATCCTCAGAATATTGTCTTCCACAGTCTGAAAATAACAATTGATATAAAAGAGAGACAAAGTGGATGCGGTAATATCTTTTATTGGACCAGCTTCTGTTGGTGAGAGAGATAAGCTCACCAACAGAAGTTGGTCAAGTAAAAGATATTACTTCATCCACCTTGTCTCTCTAATATCTTGGAACCAACGTGGTTAAACAACACTGCATACAATTGATATGAAGTATCTGCTATTCTAGCTCATCTGTTAATCCTGCTTTTGCTTTGCATGTGGCACCTTGGGTGTTCACCAAGCTCTTGAAGGTTGGTATCTTGGTTCCTGTCTCCTCTGCCAGGTGTTGTATGGTAAAGAATCCCAGAAAGAGTCACTTTCTTCTGATGCTGACAAGAAACTTCATTAGAACAAGGGAAAAAGAATTATCCCAAAGCTACTCTGTGTCTCTTTCTGCTTTACTGTAGATCTTCTGCATAGAATCTTCCCATTCCCTACTGACTGGATTCCTGCATCAGATTTAAGAATTGGTATTTTCCTCTCTTCTTATTAGAGAATACATAGAATGCTCTAGGTCTGGGCTGATGGCAAATAAAATGATCTCTTCTATGTCTTGATTACTCAAGTCCTGCCTGGTTTGATTAGGTAATTTAAAAAAAAAAATTAAGTCAAGGAGATGGCTGTAAGTCAGAGACGCGGAAGCAGAGTGAATACACTGAGAGTAGAGTAAAAAAAGACGTATCAGAGAAAAAGACAATTGAACATTTACCAGACCATGAAGGTGAAGTTAATGGTTATCTAAATGGTAAAAAAAAAGAATGAAAGCAATGATCTAAAGAAGGAGACCTCCAGTTCACATGGGACAGAATCTTCATCCGCTGGGAAAAGCATTTCTAATTTGCTTCCTCCTACTGCAGCAAAACTGAAAAGTGAAGGAAATTAATTATTTAAGAATGGGCAATTTGGAGAGGCTGTGCTGAGGTACTCAGAGGCCATTGAAAATGTCATCAATTTAGGTGAGTTGTGATACCTTATGAAAAGAGTAGAATCGCTATTATTGTTAAAAGAACCACAGTTTAACCATCATAGCCTATCCACAGATTTCTGACAGAAACTGACAGGCTGGAAATTCATCTGTGATAAATAATAGTCAATTTACAAAATGAGTCACAAAAGGTACAATAGAGTCATTAAGTAAATTAAGTCAGGAACAACTTGGGCATTATAGATTCTGTATTTTCATATAATCTTCTGAAATATTGACTAGTTTGCACAATAGGGAATCAATACTTAAAGATATGAGGGCATGAAAAATTCTTGTGGGATCGTTGGGCACTTCTGCATGTCAGTTAAGATAAAAGGAAAACCCAGCATCTAAGCTGATGGTACCAAGGCATACAAAATTATTAGAGGGTACAGTTGCCTTATTGATATTTTCAAGGGTCAAAATTTCTGTTACATAAGAACAGCCATACTAGGTCAGACCAAAGGTCTGTCTAGCCCAGTATCCTGTCTTCCAACAGTGGCCAATGCCAGGTGCCCCAGAGGGAATAAACAGAACAGAACATTTGGTGACCCCTAGTTCTTGTTTTATGAGAAGGAGTAAATAACACTTCCTTATTTACTTTCTCCACACCAGTCATGATTTTATAGACCTCATATCCCCCCTTAGTCGTCTCTTTTCCAAGCTGAAAAGTCCCAGTCTTATTAATTGCTCCTCATACGGAAACCGTTCATACCCCTAATCATTTTTGTTGCCCTTTTCTGAACCTTTTCCAATTCCAATTTTTGAGATGGGGTGATCACATCTGCATGCATTATTCAAGATGTGGGCATACCATGGATTTATATAGAGGCAATATATTTTCCATCTTATTATCTATCCCTTTCTTAATGATTCCCAACATTCTGTTCGCTTTTTTGACTGCCGCTGCACATTGAGTGGATGTTTTCAGAGAGCTATCCACAATGACTCAAAGATCTCTTTCTTGAGTGGTAACAGCTAATTTAGCCCCCATCATTTTATATGTATAGTTGGGATTATGTTTTCCACTGTGCATTACTTTGCATTTATCAACACTGAATTTCATCTGCCATTTTGTTGACCAGTCACCCAGTTTTGTGAGATCCTTTTGTAGCTTTTCGCAGTCTGCATGGGACTTAACTATGTTGAATAGTTTTGCATCATCTGCAAATTTTGCCACTTCACTGTTTACCTCTTTTTCCTTTCCATTTCTGAATATGTTGAATAGGACTGGTCCCCGTACAGACCCCTGGGGGACACCACTGTTTACCTCTCTCCATTCTGAAAACTGACCATTTAGTCCTACCTTTTGTTTCCTATCTTTTAGCTAAATACCAATCCATGAGAGGACTTTCCCTCTTATCCCATGACCGATTACTTTGCTTAAGAACCTTTCGTGAATAACCTTGTCAAAGGCTTTCTGAAAATCTAAGTACACTATATCCACTGGATTCCCCCTTGTCCACATGCTTGTTGACCCCCTCAAAGAATTCTAGTATATTGGTGAGGCATGATTTCCCTTTACAAAAACCATGTTGACTCTTCCCAAACAAATTATGTTCATCTATGTGTCTGACAATTTTGTTCTTTACTATAGTTTCAACCAGTTTGCCTGGTATTGAAGTCAGGCTTACTGACCTGTAATTGCCAGGATCACTTCTGGAGCCCTTTTTAAAAATTGGCATCACATTAGCTATCCTCCAGTCATTTGGTATAGAAGCTGATTTAAATGATAGTTTACAGACTACAGTTAATAGTTCTGCAATTTCATATCTGAGTTCCTTGAGGGGGCCACTTAGGGATCTGGGGCAAAATCAGTACTTGGTCCTGCTAGTGAAGGCAGGGGGCTGGACTCCCTCTAATGGTGGGGCCTTTGGAGAGGAGGGATAGCTCAGTGGTTTGAGCATTGGCCTGCTAAACGCAGGGTGGTGAGTTCAATCCTTGAGGTGGGCCATTTAGGGATCTGGGGCAAAAATCTGTCTGGGGATTGGTCCTGCTTTGAGCAGGGGGTTGGACTAGATGACCTCCTAAGGTCCTTTCCAATCCTGATGTTCTATGATTCTTGGGTCAGTACCATCTGGTCCTGATGACTTATTACTCTTTAGTTTATCAATGTGTTCCAAAACCTTTTCTAATGAATAAAATTAAATACCTACATACTATGGTGATAGGCCCTTCTGATAGATGAAGAATTTGTCTAAGGTTACATCTGATACAATGATTTTGTGGTTTTTCTTATCTTCTGGACATTGTTTAAAGCTAATTTTAGGGTTAATTTTCATTATTGTCTGTCTTTAATCTGAACTCATATAAGGCTATGCTTTGTCCTTATTTTTACCTTTCATATGAAACCTCTTTTTATTGAGCTATATTGATATATTACAAGAAGACGGATTAAAAATGTCTCCTTTCCATGTTATTTATGGGGACTTCGGATGGGTACCTAGGGTTACCTAGGGAGGTGGTGGAATCTCCATCCTTAGAGGTTTTTAAGGCCCGGCTTGACAAAGCCTTGGCTGGGATGATTTAGTTGGTGTTGGTCCTGCTTTGAGCAGTGGATTGGACTAGATGACCTCCTGAAGTGTCTTCGAACCCTAATATTCTATGATATTCTAGGGTTGTCAATTGCAGTTAACTCACGCGATTAACTCAAAAAAATTAATTACGATTAAAAACAATTAATCGCAATTAATTGCAGTTTTAATCCCACTGTTAAACAATAATAGGATACCAATTGAAATGCATTAAATATTTTGGATGTTTTTCTATATTTTCAAATATATTGATTTCAGTTACAACACAGAATACAAAGTGTACAATGCTCACCTTATATTTTTTATTACAAATATTTGCACTGTAAAAATGATAAACAAAAGAAATAATATTTTTCAGTTAATCTCATATAAGGACTGTAGAGCAATCTCTTTATTGTGCAAGGGAAATTTACAAATGTAGATTTTTGTTTTGTTTTGTTACAACACTGCACTCAAAAACAAAACAATGTAAAACTTTAGAGCCTATGAGTCCACACAGTCCTACTTCTTGTTCAGCCAATTGCTAAGACAAACAAGTTTGTTTACATTTACAGGAGATAATGCTGCCTGCTTCTTATTTACAATGTCACCTGAAAGTGAGAACAGGTGTTCGCATGACATTATTGTAGCTCATGTTGCAAGGTATTTACATGCCAGATACGCTAAATATTCGTATGCCTCTTCGTGCTTCGGCCATGATTCAAGAGGACGTGTTTCCATGCTGATGACGCTTGTTAAAAAAATGATGCGTTAATTAAAGTAGTGACTGAACTCCTTGGGGGAGAATTGTATGTCTCCTGCTCTGTGTTTTACCCGCATTCTGCCGTATATTTCATGTTATAGCAGTCTTGGATGATGACTCAACACATGTTTGATTTTAAGAACACTTTCACAGCAGATTTGACAAAACGCTAAGAAGGTGCCAATGTGAGATTACTAAAGATAGCTACAGCACCAGACCCAAGGTTTAAGACTCTGAAGTGCCTTCCAAAATCTGAGAGGGAGGAGATGTGGAACATGCTTTCAGAAGTCTTAAAAGAGCAACACTCCGATGTGGAAACTACAGAACCCGAACCACCAAAAGAGAAAATCAGCCTTTTGCTGATGGCATCTGACTCAGATGATGAAAATGAACATGCATTGGTCCAGACTGCTTTGGATCATTATTGAGCAGACACCATCATCAGCATGAATGCATGTCCTCTGGAATGATGGTCGAAGCATAAAGGGACATATGATTCTTTAGTGCATCTGGCACGTAAATATCTTGCGACAACAGCTACAACAGTGCCATGCGAACACCTGTTCTCACTTTCAGGTGACACTGTAAAGAAGAAGTGGGCAGCATTATCTCCTGCAAATATAAACAAACTTGTTTGTCTGAGCGATTGGCTGAATAAGAAGTAGGACTGAGTGGACTTGTAGGATCTAAAGTTTTACATTGTTTTGTTTTTGAGTGCAGTTATTTTTTGTACATAATTCTACAACTGTAAGTTCAATTTCCATGATAAAGAAATTGCACTAAAGTACTTGTATTAGGTGAATTGAAAAATACTATTTCTTTTGTTTTTTATAGTGCAAATATTTGTAATAAAAATAAATATAAAGTGAGCACTGTACACTATATTCTGTTTTGTAATTGAAATCAATATATTTGCAAATGTAGAAAACATGCAAAATATTTAAATTGTATTCTATTATTAACAGTGCAATTAATCGCAATTTATTTTTTTAATCGCTTGATAGCTCTAATATTTTCTCATGACTATCAGTAAAACAATTTAATTTGGTGCTGATGTATTAATTCTAACATGACAAGTAATTGTGATTTGCTGATTGAAAAACTGTAAATCTGCATTTTCATGTAAATTAAAGTATCAGCTTTTTATTTAGCATTCAGTATTTAAGTGCTTAAATTCAAGGTAAATTCTCTACCATTTCATTATGTAAGAAAAGGGGGGCTATAAGTTGTTCTTCAGCAAGGAGAAAACAGATTTGACAAGAAAGTATTACATTCTTACTATGTATTGCAAACTGTTTATTACTAGAAATTAATCTGTGTTCTGAGAGTGTTTTCTGTGACAAATCAATTTTTATAAATGAAGACTCTTGAAGTATTTTATGCTGTGGACTTTGGTATACACCCCTCCTTTGCCTTTACAATAGTTCCTTCCAATGATGCAAACTCTGACCTAGCTGATTAACTTCCTTGTAGAAACTGGTGTACTACTCGGAGGCAAGATTGCAACTAAAAGTGAAATGGGGAATCTACAAAAAAAGTTTTCCAGCAAAGGAGATGGCTGTAAGTCAGAGACGCAGAAGCAGAGTGAATACACTGAGAGTAGAGTAAAAAAAGACGTATCAGAGAAAAAGACAATTGAACATTTACCAGACCATGAAGGTGAAGTTAATGGTTATCTAAATGGTAAAAAAAAGAATGAAAACAATGATCTAAAGAAGGAGACCTCCAGTTCACATGGGACGGAATCTTCATCCACTGGGAAAAGCATTTCTAATTTGCTTCCTCCTACTGCAGCAAAACTGAAAAGTGAAGGAAATGAGTTATTTAAGAATGGGCAATTTGGAGAGGCTGTGCTGAGGTACTCAGAGGCCATTGAAAATGTCATCAATTTAGGTGAGTTGTGATACCTTATGAAAAGAGTAGAATCGCTATTATTGTTAAAAGAACCACAGTTTAACCATCATAGCCTATCCACAGATTTCTGACAGAAACTGACAGGCTGTAAATTCCTCTGTGATAAATAATAGTCAGTTTACAAAATGAGTCACAAAAGGTACAATAGAGTGAAATGAATAGAAAGATTGATCATTCTTAGTGACAGCGATGTTTGCATATGTTTACGTATTAGAATAATTATATGTATTGTAGGTGACATACTGAATAAACAAAAGCTCCTTGAAGCTTTGCATCATCAGCAAACTGCAGCAGTGCAGTGTAACTCAGAACATACTATAGTCTTTTTTTAATTCTAATTCAATGATATTTAAATAATGAACTTTCATTGTACTTTCATATAATTTTAGGAGTACAAAGTCGAGATGATCTAAGTATCTTGTATTCAAATAGAGCAGCATGTTACCTTAAAGAAGGCAACTGCAGTGACTGCATTCAAGATTGTAACAGGTAAAACAGCACTCTTTCTTGTAGGGAAACAACATTCCTATTGATGATTAAACATTTTAATCAGTTTCTCATTATTAAAATACTATTTTAACTGAGTCATTCTAAGGAAGGGCTAGTTCCTTGTCATATTGACAGGAATCTTTATCTGTTAAAATATGTTATGAATCACTCACTACTAGGGGAGAGGTAATTTTAAGAATATTGTATAAGTTGATGTGTAAAGACAATTAAATCTTCCCAAATGTACATAGAAATGCATTGAAGGCTTCAATGAACAAAATGTTAACGTTAAATGAAAACTGGCTCTTTACTGAACAGTCTGTGAATGCTCCATAGTTATTTATACGTAGTCTCTTTTCACCCTAGGACTGATAACCTTGTTTGAAACCATTTTTAAGCATGTTTACAGTAGAAATTGTTTTGCATATACACTCAACATATTCACAATCTGAGTTACAATTGTGTTCAAAAATTGAGCTAGAATTCTGCTGTCTACTTATGGTGCATTGTTGTACGGCACCATTGGCTGAAGGTCAGGTACCCTCAATCTCCCCCTCCAAAAAAACCACATTTAAGTATTACTGTTTTTCCTAAAATTTCTGTTGAATTTCATAAGCAGTGATTAATGAGTGTAAGGCTTTAGGGGTTAAACAGGATACCATACGATCAGAACTCTCATCAGCCAAACAAATTTCCTCTTTTGTAATGCAAGGCTGTAACTTTCTGGAGTGCAATCCAGACCTGTGGAGAGCGTGGAGTTGCCTTGCCCCAAGCAGGCTCCAGGATCCAAAGCATTGGACCAGGGCTGCCCAATATGTAGACATGAGTGCATGCTTGTTGCTAACAGTGGGTGTCCCAGGCAGAGAGTCATAGTAACAAGGCATTGTGAGGCACGGGGTTACAGGATAAGAGGTGACAGAACTCTTCACTGGTCTGGATTGCACCCCAGAATGTGATACATACACAACTAGAGTATAAAAATATTAATAACTGGATATAATATAGATTTAGCTTTTAATTTTTATTAATTAAGCTGCTAACATATTGAATATAGTCTACCATCTGCTTTAGGAGTTTTCTTAGAATGAGAAGTTTTTTTCATATACTTTCTAATACTCTGCATAATTTAAACTTTGTTGTAATTAGTGAAGATATAAGATAGTTGAAAAAGACAGACGTTTACTGACCAAATAAAGTTACAAAATTATAGCAATAAATTGCTTGTTCTGGTTCTTTGAATATAACTCTGCCTTTGAAAACAATACTGTGAACCTGTGTTTTGTTTTCTCTCTAAGTGGAAACCTATATCATCATCAATCATCATCATCATTATCATCAGTATAATATTAATTTATGGTACTACCCATAATATGCTATACACTTTCTATATAGACAGAGAGGTATGGTTCCTGCCACAATGAGCAGAGACAACAAATAGACAGAAGTTAGGAAGAATAAGAAATAGAAACAATATTAAAAAAATATATGTCAACTGGATTTGCTGTAGGCAGCACAACAGAAATGGATAAGGTTTAATAATGATTTATGATTGACTTCAGCAAGGCCATGGATGGCATAGTGCTTGTATTCTTGATGTAAAAAAAAAACCATCCCAAAAATGTTTTACACATTTGTCTTCTAATATGTGTTTCTTGAGAGGCTTCCAGAAATCCTCTTAGCTCCTCTTCCCCATAAGGGCCCTGATTTGGAGTAATTTACCCTTTGTCTGTGGAAGACAGGATGTAGCTCCCTTATACTAGCTTCCACTTCCTCATATTACTGCTATGGCATAACCTGTCACCTGACTAACATTACCCTCCAGCTATACCCTGGAAATGCATGCTGGCTAGCTTCACCTCCCAGATGCTGATAGTCCCCAAGAAATGCACCCCTTCCATCTGACTTTGTATCTACCCTTTAGATTGCACCAAATTTCTAGGTGTTATGAACCTGAAAATTAGTTAGTGTTCTCAAGGTTAAAAGAAAGTTAAGAGCAGTAGTTGAGCCTTAGTAGTACTATGGAGTGATGCATAATTGCTATTCTAAACAGTACTTAGCAGTAGAAGAGATCTTGGAAGCTTTTAAACATAACTGTCTTCATTATTTAGATATATACAGGAGTACATATCCTAATAGCTAGCTGCCTAGAATCCTCTAAATCGCAATACTCCTATTGTTCCATTAATAAAAGACACTTTTTAAATAATAATGCTTTTGTGGGCATTTTGTGCTTTTGTGAGCCCATCATGTCACTGGAGCAGTCCATGTAGTTTAGAAGTAGTACTCGTTGTGCTGCACTAGAGACTGAGCTTGCTGCCTGACCACATCAGCAGCAGTGTTATCTGGGAGACATCCTGCCAAAACAGTCAGTTTTTTCCTTGTATGCTAACCTCAGTTGCTCACAGCCAACAGGCAGTTGTGTACTGCTTGTATTATTGCTAAATATTTTCTTCATGTTTTACAACTACAGAGGAACTGAAAGCTATTAGAGGAACAAGCAGACAGAACGAGCATATGTTTGAGAGCCACACAGATCTAGGCACCACTTAAACAGAATAATCATCCCATTAAGATTAAGCAGAATCACCACACTAAGATTCTATTAAGTATGGTGGGCCTTAAATGTGTTCACTGTGGAGGAAGTAGGTTACCAGACTGAGTTAACAAATGTAAGTTGAATACATTGTAATAAAATATGCTAGCATGTACATGGCTGCAATCCCATTTCGGGTTTTTTTAGTTGCTAATAAACCACTCCAGATCTGCTTTCCTATTTTGTCAAGATAACCCCAAAATGAAATAATGGACATACTGTGTATAGTTCTTTATATCATTGGATAGCTTCATTAGGTTTACGTGACAATTCTGTTTTCAGCCCTGCACTGCTTGTAATCTTTTTTTCTTTTGTATTCTCAAGAGCTCTGGAACTTCATCCATTTTCCCTTAAACCTCTTCTGCGACGGGCAATGGCATACGAGTCCATGGAGCGATATCGGCAGGCGTATGTTGATTATAAAATGGTTCTACAGATAGATAGTGGGATCCAGGCAGCAAATGACAGTGTTAATAGGTAACATCAATTTGTGACTTTTGTGTTCTTATAAGATGCTGAATGGAAAAATAGGATTTTATATTTTATTTTATTTGTTTTCCTTTATCTACTCCCTCTCCTCTATGTGCCTCAGAGTTAGAAATATATACAGAAACACCAGTTGTTTGTTGTTAATTATGTTCACAGTAACATCATTTCCCATTGGTTTTATTCACTCTACAATTAAACCATGAATATAAACTTGAAGGGTGGACTTTTCTTTTGCTTTCAGCACTTGTGCATGTACCATCTTTTTTCTTCTACTGTTCTGTCATTTGTCCGTTACCCACGCTGTAGTATTCCTCCTCTCTTGTTCTGTGCTTTCCCAATTTCTTTTTAATTCCTTCTGTGTTCTGGTCAGTGTGAGGACAGCAGCAAAATGAAACTTGTAGGACTCCTGATCCCTGAAGTGCCAGGCTAATGTTTGACATCTAGCCTGCACAGAGATCAACATTCCATTAAGTTTCACTGTGCTACCACTTGTCAACAGTAGCTTATTAGTGGCTTGTGCCACTTCCCTGAGACTATATTAAAAATTTGATCTTAATCCATGTCAGCGAAATTTCATGTTTTGTTGTTTTGTGCTGGATATTTTACCCTTTTCTATGTGATTTAAATTTTATAACCTAAGGCAGAAATCTCCTTTAAGTTCTGCATGGCAGATATCAACTCCCAATATTCTCCTCTCTCTACTCTGGTGACCTCAATGAGAGATGCATGTATATGCAGAGAGCAAAATGTTAAAGCTGAGATCTTCCCTGTGGCTCTATGAGAATTTTGCCCTTAATACTTGGGTCTACAAAACTTTATTCTTGTATTAGATGACAAAATGCTATCTTGGCTGGAGTAGAACAATAATTTCACATAATATTATTGACGGAAAGGTCTCTAAACTAGTGGTCTGCCAAACTCTTTCGTTTCAGTGTCTGCATTGGTCATCCATTTAACATTGAAGCATACAAGAGAGAATCTCAATCTCTTGCCATACAACTTAAGTGCCCCTTACATTCAAGACCAAATTCATAAATACTAAAATGTGTAGCATGTTCTACTTGTAGCTGCCAGCAGTAAAAGCAAGATGAAACTCTGGGGAGCAGTATTTGTGTTTGGGTAACAATATTTTTCCAGAGTATAAGATTTGTACTTCATACACCTCATGAGTGTAGCATCACTTTTGAAAAAAAAAATTAGTTATTGATATTCGAATACTGGACAGATTAAATATGGCAGTTACTGAGAGTATATACTTGGAACCTCAGTGATTTTTAGTCTTTTTTTTTTTTAAACTACAACTATGTTTAAAGGGCTTTACTTTTTTGTGTGGGGCTTCAGTTTGCTCCCCTTCTTAACTTTTGTGTTTGTTACCAGGTGAGATAACACTAGCAATAGTCACTGTCTACACAGTGTACAGTCTAAGAAATATAATTTTTCTAACCTTTTTAATAGTTTCAAACCCGCATCATTCTTGCTGCCAACTGCAGATCATTAATTTCTGTAATTATATTTATAACAACTGTATAGAATTGTGCTTGATACTTCAAACATTGTCATACTTACATTTCTTTTAACTTATAGTAAGTAATTCTATGAATCACAAAACTGTATTTGCTTTTTTTCTACTTTAAATATTGTGTATGAGAACAGAGAAGCCAGTATGCATTGAGCAATAGCCCACATATATTCAACCTTCAATATTAGAACCTGTTTTATAAAGGAGGGACGGAGCATTGAGGTTATTTCCTATGCTTCTTGAAAAGTGAATGGTAACTTTAACTTCTACCTGTAGGTGTATGTACACCAGAAGGGATCTTAGGTTAACATTTTCTGTAAAGGATGTTATCTTTAGCTGCAGAGTAAACTTGCTAGTACATCAGTGTCTACATCTGGTACTAGATGAGTTCCTGGTGTGGTGAAATTACTGATGTCAAACAGTTGGTGTGCATGGTTTTACCTCCTGTATCGCTATCTTTTATTTATAAACAGGCACTTTAGAAATTTCCCCTGATTGACATTCTTGTAACTTACTTAGGATTTAAGCTTCCTATTTTTTCTTCCTTAACATTTTTCCCTTTATTCCTTTCTAGGCCTTCCTTATGCTTTTAGCTTCATTACTCTTTCCTCCCTGGCATCCCATCATCTTATTTCAGCTGCTCCTTCCTTCTCCTCCTTTGCTGGTAATTCATTTTTGGCTTTCAGATTTTGTTTTTAGAGTATAGCCCTCTTGCGTAAGTTTAAATACAATTTATTTATTTTAAAATTTTTATCATTTCTAAATTCAATTTAAATAGCTGATCAAATAAAGAAAATACTCAGTTTCAGTGAAAAAGAGAAACAATTTTAAAAGAAACAGTTTAAGAAGTGAATTGCAAAGGGAAAAAGGTGGCATTTCTACCTTTCCTGTTCCTTTTTGATGTAAAGGGATAACCTCAAAAATGTCATTTAAAAATATTTTTCTACATGTCTTTTATATTAGGAATATCAGGTCCTGGCTTCCTGTTTTTATTGGAAAACTTTCTAAGATCCTCAGAGGGATCTGATTGGTGATATCACAGGAAGCTGACTAATCTGCTGATCTTTCACCCCTAGCCTGAATAAGATTCCCCTTCACCTATCTTCTAAGGCTGGCCTAAATAACCAGGTCCTGCAAAAATCTTACAAGCAAAAATGGAGCTCAGGTCCTGAGGTTCCTATTATTAGTCATGTAAAAGACTAGCAGAATTGTTAAAATAAAACTGTGAGATTGTCTGTGTACATCATAAAGAAAGCATTGAAGAGTGTGAGCAATTTATTTATTTTTGCTTTGCAGTTCCACCATTAATAAGAGAGTTTGTCATCTTGGTTAGAATATGTTGAATGACTTTTTTTGTGGTGTCCTGATATGTTATCCTGCAAGAGTGGTAGCAAGCACTCTTATTTGAGGGACCTTGATTATGGAAACTGTTCCCTGTAATTGTGTTCCAGAACCTAGGTTTGGCAAGCTTCAGTGAGGCTTTTAATCAGTGGCATTTTACCACTGACTGCATACCATCAGGTTTCCGTGGCTAGTTTTTTTTCTTTTTTTTTTTAATTTTCTGTTGGATTGACTGATATTTCTACTGTTCCTTTTTAATTATTGTGAGGCATCTATAGGCCATGGCAATGGGGACTGTGTATATACACTTCCATTCACTAAATGGACTTCTCGTTCTAATTGACTCTAATTCCAATATGTTTCCTGTAATACCAGTTATTAAAAGCTGCAGAGTTCTTCTAGTGAAATTTGTTACAAACTTTTGTATGAAAAGTATACTGTATAAACATGGCCCTATCAAATTCATGGTTCATTTTCATAAATTTCACGGTCAATGCATTTTAAAAATCTTGAATTTCAGAGTTTCAGATATTTAAATTTTAAATTTCACAGGGTTGTAACAAAGCATGAATATGTATTTTAAAAATGGCAAAATATAAACATGTAAAGCCTTTAAGTAAGTGTTTCCCAAACTGGGGGTCTTGACCCAAAAGAGGGTCGGAAGGTTATTGTGGGGCAACGCGGCATTGCCACCCTTACTTTTGTGCTGCCTTCAGAGCTGGGTGGCTGGAGAGCGTCATCATCTGGCCGGACACCCAGCTCTGAAGGCAGCTCTGCCGCCAGCACAGAGGTAAGGGTGGCATGGTATGGTATTGCCATTCTTACTTCTGCCCTGCTGCTGGGTGGCCAGCTCTGAAGGCAGCGCAGAAGTAAGGGTGGCTATACTGCAATCCCCCACATTAGTCTTGCCAACCCCCTTTTCGGTCAGGACCCCCAGTTTGAGAAACACTGCTTATAGCATAGTGTAAAAGTACACAAAAGACCAGATTTTATGCATGGTCCATGTCACATTTTTCATGGCCGTGAATTTGGTAGAGCCTTATGTATAAAATAGATCTTTGTGATAAATACCAGTAAACCCCAACATTGCAACATGACTGTCTGAATGTTTTCTTGTAAAACACCATTTTTGGTGCAAGACAGTTGCTAACATAGTTGAGTGACTGGATGGGGTGCAGGTTACAAGGAGCCACCTCCCTAGCCCATGCATCCTGTATAAGCACCAGGGACAAATACAGTCTTGTTCCCTTTGAGCCTGATTCAGTATCCATTGAAGTCAGCAGGAGTCTTTTCATTGACTTCAATGGGCATTGGGGCAGGCCCTCTGTGCTGATTGCGGGCACACATAGCCGCAAATGGAGAAAGGCTGAGCAGGGAGGAAGCAGGGTCCTGGTTTGGTGTGGAGTTACTCTGCTTTTTACTCAGAACAATATCTAAATACTGTGATCTGCCTTCTGCGTATTTCACTCTAAAATAAGCCATGTTAACCAAAGCAAAGGTCAGGGCTGTTCAACTTGCATAGTACCCCTAATTTTATATGAGCTACTTCATTCAAGTTGGAGTGAGAGAATATTTTGCTTAGATTAAAATAAAATTATAGCTCAATGATCCAACACCACCATGTACCCTTACATATCCCTTACTGAAAGGCAACTATTGTTAGTTTAGAGAAAAACACTTTTTTGTTCTTTAGTTTGAAAAGAAATTAAGCAGCTAGGTGATGTGGAATTAGTGAATGCTCCCTGTATTTTGTGTATGATGCAAATGTTTGTTTTAAATATTAAAATTTGAAAAAAATTGCATAAATCACCATAGCAAATACATGTAGTACATAAAACAGTACCTCACACAAATCAATGTATCAGCATCCATTTCAGTCTGTATTATTCTGTAAAATAGTACAACAATTCTTTTGTAATCTGCATTACACAAAATATATTACAACCTCTTATAGGAAACAAGGTGGATGAGGCAATAACTTTTACTGGACCAACTTCTGTTGGTAGGAAAGGCACACTTTTGAGCTGGGTCTGGGAAATGTAGTCAGAGTGTCCCAGCTAAATACAAGGTGTAATAGCTTGTTTAACATAAGTAGTTAACACCTGTTTCAAGGGACCATTCAAGGTGAAGTGGCCTGTTAACACCTGTCCAGTCGTTTGGGAAACTGGGAGTGGTGTTTAGTGGGTTACAGATTGGATTTATGGCTTATTACAACAATGTCTCTATTCACTGGCCAGTATGAATGAGCTTGCATATACATACCAGATGTGTTCATCATAAGATCCTTTAATGCTCTCTCAGGTATGGCTGAGGTTTGTTTAAATAAGGTACATTTCACACACAGTGCCACATAGTGGCTGAACAATATAATACAGAAGTGCCTTCTGTTACATTTCCCCCTTTTAAGTTCTACATTCCTACCATATACAATATTTACACTATCAGGCTATTTTTGAAGTTCAATATGTATCAGTCTGTTGCATGTCTCTCAGTCATACTGGTTTCTAATTACATGACCCAAACATCTAAGAACTTGGTCATCTGGCTGTCCATTAGTTACAATGACTGGCTCTGGTTGATTTGGAATCCTTGAGTCGTCGTCATCTTTTTCTGTTCTCTATTCTCTTCATGGGCCACCTTGAAGAAGAATTTCTGGACAGATGCACCATGAAACCAATGATATATATCTGAGATACATGATGATTTTCATCTTCTGGACAGATAACCTAGACTCCCTCATAGATGTCCACCACAACTTCAACCACTCCCACCCATCGATTATACTTTTTCTAAAATACTCCCACATTAGCATCAAATTCCTGGACACCATGATGACCTTCAGCAGTGGAACCCTACAGACAACTATATAGAAGAAACTCACGGATGGCTATACCTACCTTCACAGATCCAGTAAATACCCCAAACACACCAAGCAATCTTATCTACAGCCAGGCACTCAGATACTGCAGAATATGCTCCGAGGAAAGTCCAGGATACAAACATCAATGCACTTAAAACTGCCTTCACCAAATGAAGTAGATCGCATCATGGAATGGGTCCCCAAATACTGGAGAGAACCTGCTTCAATATAGAAATAAAACCCCCTCCAACCACACACCCCTAGTTGTCACTTATTGCCCCACATTGATGATACACCATATGGATTCCAAACAGTTATACCCCATACTTGATGGGGTCCACATCCTAAAAGAAATCTTTCCTGAACTCCTTCTGGCCTTCAAATAACCCCTCCAAACTCTCCAAGCTCAGCATCAGGAGCAAGCTCCCCACAGATCAGGAAACACCAACTCAACCCTACCAGAACAACAGATGCAAAACCTGTAGACATATCTCCACTGCTACAATGATCAGCATCTCCCACAAAACACCTTTCAAGATTCATGGGTCCTTCCCCATCTATCACAACATGTGACATACCTCGTCCAGTTCACTGAATGCCCCAGTAACTACTATGGGGGTGAAACAAGACTGTCACTATGCACTCAAATGAACTCACACAGAAAAATGATGAAAGACAAGAACATCATATCAACTGTGGGTGAACACTTTTCACAAAGCAATCACTCTATTGCTGACCTCTCAGGCCTTACCTCAAAGGAAACCTGCACAACACCTTCCAAAGATGAGCCTGGGAGCATAAATTCATAACTTTTGCTAGACACTAAAACTCATGGACTGAGTAAAGTCACTGGATTTATGGCTTATTACAACAATCTATAACCCACTAAAGCCCCCAGCTTCCCTCCTACCCCATGACTGGAGAGATGTTAATGAGTCAGTTCACCTTGAATGGTCCTTTGAAATATATGTTAACTATTGATGTAAACAATGTGTTCCACCTTGTATTTAGCTGTGACACTGAGTACATTTCTCAGATCTAAAGAAGAGCTCTGTGGAATCTCAAAAGCTTGTCTCTCTCACCAAGAGAAGATAGTCCAATAAAAGATATTGACTCATTCACCTTGTTTCTCTGATATCCTGGGACCAACACAGGTACAACAGCACTGCATACAGCCTCTTAGAGTCTTTTTGTAGACCTTTGAGGGTCTTGTGTGAGTGAGGAGATTGGGATTGGGCCCTAACTGTTCATCTTCTGTAGTTATACTATAATATTAAAAAGCCTTTCTGTTTATAAATACTGTACTGTAAACGTTTAAAGACTAAAATCAAGGGCGGGAAATGTGAATCTGGATTACTTTCTTCCATTCCAACCTCACTTTTAATGTTGCATCCAACATTGTTAAATCCTTTTCAGATGTATATCAATTGTTTCTTTTAATGAAAAAGGATTTTTCATATTTAATATTAATATATTTTTGCATCAGTGGTGGGAGTGATACACCTGCATATTGCAAGATTATGAAATAAAATTTGAATGTAGCATAATTTACTGGACAGTGCAGAATTTTCCTTCAAGAATTGGTTCCTAGGCTCTTCCTGATCTTTTTTCTCAATGTAGAAAATTTTCTAATCAGTTTTCATTAATATTTAATATTTTCTTTTTAAAAGATACTATAAAATGTACAGCAGTGTTGTCAAGCTTTTTATATGTTAGTTTTCTTTATTTAGGTCTTAATCTAGAACCCATTGTGGTCAATCCGGTAACTCCCATTGACTTTAATGGGGTTTATTTTGGGCCTTCTATGGTTTGGAATAATCTAGTTGCCTACAATTTGTGAGTAGTGAAAGTACACTTTCGTAAGAAAAGGATCAAGTTGAGAATTTTAAATGTATTTTCTGTACATTTTTAAATGGGGATAATGAATTCATGCTTAGAGACTTACAGCGCAAGAAGTTCTTAAAATACAACTTAATAAATACTTGGAGTTGCAGTACTGTTGCAGAAAGTAGTTGTATGTATTTAATGTGGTATCAACAGCTGTAAAAAGTACATTTGTGTCTGAAACTAGTGTATATAATATTGTCACAAGCAATACCTTTAACTTCACATCTGAGATAAATGAGCAAAAAAAAATTGTTTTGTTTTCTTTTCAGTTTTAGTTTATACATTAAGCAGGACTCAGGGCTCAATCCTGCAAGAGGCTGAGAACTCTCAATACCCACTTGCTGAGGCTCTGACCCAGTTAAACACTTAATCACATGCTTAAATGCTTTACTGGCCAGGCCTAAGTGAGTTTCTCCTTTGCTGAAAAGACCCGTATAAATACCAACAAAGAGCATAAAAACTCTAAGGGGGGAAAAAAAACCTAAGGATCTTTTTTTAAAAATTCAGGACAATACTACTTAAACTGGGCATTATGGACAAGTCTACATTAGAAGCGCTACATTGGTGCAATTGCGCCCCTGTAGTGCATCTGGCGAAGATGTTCTATGCCAACGGGAGAGAGCTCTCCCATCCGCATAATAAATCCACCGCCGCGAGAGGCAGAGCACTGTCCACACCGGCACTTAGGTCGGTGTAACTTACATCAATCGGGAGGTGGCTTATTCACATCCCTGACCGACGAAAGTTATACCGAAGTACGTGGTAGTGTAGACCTGGCCTATCAGAAGAATTTTATTAGAAGAATTGAAGGACAGTGATATTTTTAAAATTGAAGTTAAGTTGTAAAAAGAAAAAAAATATGAAAAATCATGTGTATGTTTTGGTCTTCAGAATAACAAGAACTTTAATAGATCAAGATGGTCCAAGTTGGAGAGAGAAGCTACCACCAATTCCAGTTGTCCCTGTTTCTGCTCAATTACACAAATGGGATGGAGGAAGCCTTACTTCAGAAACTAAGCGAAAGAACATTGCAGACTTCAATGGAGATAGACAATCAGAGATGAACAGTATGTATAGCATATGCAAATATGTAGAGGTAGAAAAATAGAAATATAGTTTAACAAAAGTTAAACATACCATTGCTTTTCAGAATATTATCTGAAGAAGCAATATACTTAAATAATATTAACAGCAAATCTTTCTGAAAGGAAAAGTTGGATAATGGTCGAGATTGGATTTAATAACTTGTATAGATCCATAATGTTATGCTTCTTTATCACCCCATGGATGAGTTTTCAATGTGCATTTCTTTGAATATATATATAATGTTGGTAAGAATATTGATCAGCAATATGTTGATACCCACTGGAACTGTCGAGTGGGTCTTTCCTATTTACTTAACCTTAATTACATCATTTATTTTGAAAGTAGAGTCATGCTCTACATCATGATAGAATGTTGCTGTGACTACTGCATAGCCTCTCTCCACCAATAATGTTACCTCTTAGCTCAAGGATGATTTAGTTGGGGTTGGTCCTGCTTTGAGCAGGGGGTTGGACTAGATGACCTCCTGAGGTCTCTTTCAACCCTAATCTTCTATGATTCTATGATAAGTATACAAAGTTGGTGAACCTGTAAGAATGGCAAATGTATGTTTCTAAAGCATGCTGTCTTTAGGGAACTCAGGGCTTGTCTGCACAGCCCCGTAGTTCAGACTACAGGGGTGTGAATTGTGGTGTGTGCCAAGTGCTGCGCTGTGTGGATGCTGTAGGTGGAAACTAAAAGGTACCTAGTTCCTATTAGCACAGCCCTCTTCAAATGGGATAATGTTAATGTGAACTAGGTACTTTTCAGTTTGGACTAGCAACATCCACACAGGACAGTTATACAGTGCATTCTTCAGTTCACAACCCCCATAGTCTGAACTACATGGCCATGTAGACATAGTCTCAGTTACAGGAAATATTTTTTCTCTCCTAATCTCCATGGCATTAGATAATTTAACCATAAATCATTACTGGAAAAAGGCATGTCCTCAATCAACCTCCACTCCTGAGGTACTAAAGAATTAATAATGTTACTGCTGTCTGAAAGATAATCTAAAGAATTACTCTTCACCTTTTGTATACCAACTGGGAAACAAACAAACAAACAAACAAACACACCACACATTTATAGTTATAACAGATCTATGTACAAGATGAATTAACTGAGCAAAAAATAAATGAAGGGGTGGAGGCAGATATGTTGGTAACATTAGGTAAGATTGAAAATTGATATTAGTATTAGTATTATTTGTTTGTTGAATACCAACAATGTGCATTAGAATTCTGCCTGAGAGAAGGAAACTTGACTCAAAGAATAAGACCAGGCAGTAGTAATTTACAGTAATTTGGATTTTATAGGGAAAGGGTAGTATTGCATACTCAACCACAGTATGACTACGGAAAATCGCTTTCCATGTAGGGGACTGTAGCAAAGCGAGACTCACCGGCACAGCGCCTCCTGCTGGTTATCCTGGGAATTAGCTCTCCAGCGTACAGAGCGCCTCTTTCTGTCCGGTGTCTCGCCTGCCTCAGGCCCCTGTGACCCTCCCAGACCCTGGTGCCCTTTACCTCGGGGTTCTGCCCCAGCAGTACCCCACCATGCTCTGGGTCTCCCCTCCCAGGGAAACCCCCAACCCTCTCACCCACCTTGCCTCAGTGGCTACTGCCAGTCACCATCTAGCCCCCGTTCACTGGGGCAGACTGCAGTCTGTCATGACCACTCATCATTGGCAAGGAGGTTGGACCAGCTGTCTCTGCCTATCTCTGGGCTGCTGCCTCTGCAATCCCAGGACCTGTTTTGGCCCTTTAAGCAAGGCCCGCAGCCTGGAGATTTACCAGGCTGTAGCTCCCCAGCTCCTCCTGCCTTTCCCCAGCCCTGCTCCGTTCTCTGTAGCCTGAGCTCCCAGGCAGCCAGGTCCTTCTCCCTCCGAGGCTGGAAAGAGATTGACTCAGCTCCTGGCTCACAGCCCTTTTATAGGGCCAGCTGTGGCTGCCTTCCCAATCAGCCTACCCTATTGGCTCCCCGGGGCAGCCCTTTCCCAGGGCCGTCTTAACCCCTTCAGGGCCGGAGCGGGGTGACTGCCCCACTACACACCCCCCCCCCAAATCCCACGCCTGAGAGCAGAGGGGTCCTCGAGCCTGTGCGACCCGAAGATGTCCCGCCAGTCGCACTCACCGCTCCTCATTGTCCTTCAATTTTAGGGCCAGATCTTCTTTTTCCCTGTGGGATTTTTGTAGCTCCGCCTCCACCATCCAGCGGGCCTGCTCTGCAGCCTCCAGCCATGCACGCAGGCCAGAATCCCCCGGGCCCTCTTCCTTCAGGGTCTGGGTTCCTACTGCAACCTGCTCCACAACAACCTGGGTCCCGGCCTCTTGCTGGGCCCACTCTATCCCAGTCTCTTTGTCCGCCATCCCCCGTGGGTGGCTCTCAGGCAGGTCTACTGCCTTCTCTGCAGCAGCTACCTGGCCAGTCCTTGACCCCTTTGGGTCCTCAGGCCCCTCCACCTGAGTTCGCCCTCTTCTGAGGGGGCAGTTCCTCTTTATGTGGCTCTGTTTGTGGCAGCCAAAGCAGGCTTTCTGCCCCTTTGCTGCCCTGGGCCCCAGCTTCTGCCATTGGTCTTTCTCTGGGACAGCCATCCCTGGGCTGCCCTGGGTTAGACTCCTTGAGGCAGGGAGCTCCCTCCAAAGATGCCACCACCACCCACAGGCCCAACACCTTTGTCACCTCCTGACTTCCCTTGCCAGGTGACCTCTTGTAGGGGCCTGTCACTTCTCCCATTCTGGGTCAGGCTTCTTGCCCCCATCCCAGTAGGGACAATCCACCCTTACATGTCCACGCCACCCACAGGCATAACAAGCCCCACGCTCTGCCCTGGACCTCCTGGCCCCAGCACTGGGCTTTTCCCACCAGTCTCAGCGGTCTTTTTGGAACTCCCTCTGCAGGAGTTTCACCAGGGCCTGCTGCTCCTCTGCCAGCTGCCCCAGTTGTGCCCGCAAGGCCCACTGTACCTCCCACTGTCTCTCCTGGTTCTCCCCGAGCTCTTGCACAAGTCTCTCAAGCCTCTCAGGCTGCCCCTTTCCTCAGAGGACCAGACCCTGGTTTAATACAAACAAGAGGAAGTACTTCTTCACACAACTCACAATTAGCCTGTGAAACTCATTGTCATGGGATGTTGTGATGGCCAAAAGTGTAACTGAGTTAAAAAAAAGAAGTAGGTAAGTTCATGGAGGATACGTCCATCAGTGGCTATTACTCAAGATGGTCAGGAATGTAACCCCAGACTCGGGTGACCCTAAACCTCTGACTGCCAGAAGCAGAGATGAAAAGACAGGTGGATCTCCAAAATGGCCCTGCTCTGTACGCGCTGACTGCAGCTCTGGTACTGGCCACTTTTGGAGACAGGCTACTGGGTTAGATGGACCATTAGTCTGACCCATTATTAAGAGTTTGCAGGTAATCATGGAGAGAAGTAGTCAGATTTGTAGTGATAAGGTCCAACCTGTTCTGAAAATTAATCAAATTAGTTATAATTGTCTAAATCAAAAGATAATGCAATTCGTGGTGGTCTGGTATAAGATTAAGTCTATTGAACCTATTGTATGGATTTGGCCTTGTTTGCATTCTTCTTCGAGTGATTGCAGATGTCTATTCACTTCATGTGTGTGTGCGTCCAGTGCACAGTTGTCAGAGATTTTTCCCTTAGCAGTACCCATTGTGGTGGCACATGCGCCCTCTGCTGCCTCACACCACCACACAAAGGTACAAAGGGCAGATCCACCCCCAACCCTCCTTGTTCCGTTTTACTGGCTGTGATGGTTAATTGCAATATCATATTCCAACATCTTTCCCTCATATTTGTATACAGTTGGTATTCGTTTTAGTGTTTGTTGGTTATAGAAATAGGTTTTCTTTTAAAGTGTTTTTAAACACTTCAGTTCCCACTGCCAGGGCATACCTCGGTCACCAGCATCAAGCCCTGACATTCCTGAAAAAAACTGATGCCAGTGAGTGACCCACACTCCAGTTGCCTGAAGTGTCTCGAGGAGACTCACGTCAGGGATTGGTGTCAAATTTGCTGGGATTTTAATCCAAAAACCAAGAAAGACAGGGAGGCCAGGCTTAAGTTTCTTTTGATGGAGGCGGCCCTGCATCCACCTTTGGAGCCTTCCTGCTCGGAGTGGGTATGAGCACATCTGCATCCATCAGAAATGCTCCCCCAGTTTTGACTGAGCTTTGGAGCTGATCTCCCTCCCCATTACTGAGGAAGAGGCACCAGAAGACGCTGAGCCCTTAGATGCTATCTGGGAGATTGAGGTACTGAGCACTGAAGTCCAGCATATGGACAAGGACAGCAGAGTTTGCTTGAGGCCAAAGCACCTTCCAAAGCAGTCTTTTGTCAACTCTGATGCCAGCACCAGTGCTGTTGAGACCAACCCTGAAGAGGCTGCATCTAATTCAACAGTACAGAAGACTGTCTTGGTACTGTGTACTCCGGAAGCTTATGTGGCAGCACAAGATCTGCTGAGTTTCTCTGTGCAGGCTTTGCTGGCAGTCCAAGAGTCTTCTCGCCCAGTACTGGCACCTACGATACCTTTATTGTCGTTGTCCCAGCATATGATACCGTGAGTGCCTCCATTTCCCTGCATGCCTCTTCATGTGGTACCATCCAGAGGGAAGCCAGCCATTATCTCACGAGAACCGCCATCTCCAGGCTTCCCACATGGAACCTCAGCACTGATAGGAACAGCCCTTCCTTGGTTGGAGGAGGTGGCTTCATCTGTGGATTCTGAGGTTGGTTCCTACATGTCATACCTGCACCACAAACATCACTGTTCCCCTTCTACTGCCTATCATTGTTGGTATCCCTTGGAGGCTCTGTCTTGGCCATCAAGCAGAGACCCATGCCTAGGCAGAGATTGGGCTCTGCGACCTTACCAATGGCCATTATGAATCCTGTGAGGGTTTCTCCCTGCCTCCATGTTGTCGCCACACCCTCCCTGCTCTGCTTCTTTGAGTAGGC